CACAGAGAGGGAGGAGGGGGGGGGGGGGGGATTCAGCAGTGAGGAGAATGTGGCAAAGAGCTTCCTAGGGTTAGAGGCAGATGCTTGGAATTTAGAGTGGTAGAAAGTGGCCTTAGCAGCAGAAACAGATGAAGAAAATGTAGAGAGGAGGGAGTGAAAAGATGCCAGGTCGGCAGGGAGTTTAGTTTTCTTCCATTTCCGCTCGGCTGCCCGGAGCTCTGTTCTGTGAGCTCGCAATGAGTCATCAAGCCACAGAGCTGGAGGGGAGGACCGAGCCGGCCGGGAGGATAGGGGACACAGGGAGTCAAAGGATGCAGAAAGGGAGGAGAGGAGGGTTGAGGAGGCAGAATCAGGAGATTGGAGGGAGAAGGATTGAGCAGAGGGAAGAGATGATAGGATGGAAGAGGAGAGAGTAGTGGGAGAGAGAGAGCGAAGGTTGCGGCGGCGCGTTACCATCCGTGTAGGGGCAGAGTGAGTAGTGTTGGAGGAGAGCGAGAGAGAAAAGGATACAAAAGTAGTGGTCGGAGACATGGAGGGGAGTTGCAGTGAGATTAGTAGAAGAGCAACATCTAGTAAAGATGAAGTCAAGCGTATTGCCTGCCTTGTGAGTGGGGGGGGATGGTGAGAGGGTGAGGTCAAAAGAGGAGAGGAGTGGAAAGAAGGAGGCAGAGAGAAATGAGTCAAATGTAGACGTGGGGAGGTTGAAATCCCCCAAAACTGTGAAGGGTGAGCCATCCTCAGGAAAGGAACTTATCAAGGCGTCAAGCTCATTGATGAACTCTCCAAGGGAACCTGGAGGGCGATAGATGACAAGGATATTAAGCTTAAATGGGCTAGTGACTGTGACAGCGTGGAATTCAAATGAGGAGATAGACAGATGGGTTAGGGGAAAAATTGAGAATGACCACTTGGGAGAGATGAGGATTCCTGTGCCACCACCCCTCTGACCAGATGCTCTCGGGGTATGCGAGAACACATGGTCAGACGAGGAGAGAGCAGTAGGAGTAGCAGTGTTTTCAGTGGTAATCCATGTTTCCGTCAGCGCCAGGAAGTCGAGGGACTGGAGGGTAGCATAGGCTGGGATGAAGTCAGCCTTGTTGGCGGCAGAACGGCAGTTCCAGAGGCTGCCTGAGACCTGGAACTCCAGGTGTGTGGTGCGTGCAGGGACCACCAGGTTAGAGAGGCAGCAGCCACGCGGTGTGAGGCGTTTGTGTAGCCTGTGCGGAGAGGAGAGAACAGGGATAGGCAGAGGCATAGTTGACAGGCTGCAGCAGATGGCTACAATAATGCAGAGGAGATCGGAATGAAATGAACTAAACATCAGGGAAAGGAGAGAGCAGGCCTCCATCACCAAAAAAAAAAAGAAATATATATATATATATATATATATATAAAACTCTCCCAACTTCCACCTCAGAAACTATAATTGTTTCACTGAACCACCCGAGTAAAACTCTCCCAACTTCCACTTTAGAAATTAGAATTGTTGTAAACTACAGCAGACTGTTATCAGTAGCTGTAATTAAGTACAGCAGCTACCAACCACCTAACGTTAATGCCTCGGATGAGGTTAGAAAAACAGCTGAATGGTAGCAGCTAGCTGGCTCAATCACAGGTACTCTTAAGCATGAAATAACATTGGAAACAGTTAACCACAGTTGCAAAAAGTTACCAGTAGCTACCCGCTAGCTAGCTAGCTAGCTTTGTTGGTCCAAGTAGTGGGTAAGATAGCCTCGTGCTTCGCCGGGGTCCGCCGAATACAGTCCTTACCTACAATAATTACCTACAATAACCTTCAATAACTACCTGAGTAAGCTACCTATAATACCAAACTACAATACCTACCTACAATCTAAATACATGGTTTAAGCTTAACTCAACACCATATAAGAAGCCAAGCTTACCTTTCATAACGCAGCAATGATTAAACGTTGGGTAGCTAGCACAAAGATATTGTATTTAGCTACCACAGTACAGCCAGCTGGTAGTGTTGGCTGGCTAGCAATGGCTACTGTGTTGACTTTGTTTGAAAAACGGCGTCGCTGCGAACGAATGTAGCTGGCTAAAAGGATATTGTTTTTAGTTGCAACCGTTGCTAATAGCAACTCGCCAGCTAATCCAGGAGGTGAGTTAGCTAGCTAGCTTCGTGCTACACCCGGCACCGCCGAATACAAAAGTAACCTACAATAACTACACAACAGCTACCCACAACAGCCCACGATGCCTACCTATACTACTTAATAATATACAGCCCACGATGCCTACCTATAGTACCTAACTACAATCTAAATACATAGTTTAAGCCTTACTCGACAAAGCCCAAGCTATGTATAAAGCCAAACTGGCAGACTGCAGTCAGTAGCCGAAATTAAGTACAGCAGCTACCAACCACCTAACGTTAATGACATCAGCAAACTGCTCGCCCACACGACGCCATACACGTGGACTGCGGTTGTGAGTCCGGTTGGACATACTGCCAAATTCTCTAAAACGACATTGGAGGCGGCTTATGGTAGAGAAATGAACATTCCTATTCTCTGGCAACAGCTCTGAAGGACATTACTGCAGTCAGCATGCCAATTGCACGCTCCCTCAAAACTTCAGACATCTGTGGCATTGTCTTGTGTGACAAAACTGCACATTTTAGAGTGGCCTTTTATTGTCCCCAGCACAAGGTGCACCTGTGTATTGATCATGCTGTTTAATCAACTTCTTGACATGCCAGGTGGATGGATTATCTTGGCAAAGGAGAAATGCTCACTAACAGGGATGTAAAAATATTTGTGCACAAAATGAGAGAAATAAGCTTTTTTTGCGTACGGAACATTTCTGGGATCTTTTATTTCAGTTAATGAAACCAACACTTTACAAGTTATATTTTTGTTCAGTATAAGTTGGGAGTCATTTTACAGCTTGCATAATGGTAGTTTCTATAACTAAATAGATTACAAAAACAAAATACAGAAAAATGACTTTACCTGATAGTTTGTCGGACGGAGATCTCTCTCGAGCTATCACCAGCTGTGTTTAGTACCTTAGATGCAGAGAATGTGATTGGCAGACGTGATCAGCAGAGATGGTGCCTGGATGCGAAAGTTGGATGGGCAGGGGCAATTTCATGAATATTCAGGAGTCTTAATATAGAACCCGCTGGGTGATTGGTTGAGCCTTCTTGAGTGTGACGTCACACAGATGCCCTACAGAGACGTCTGTTTAGCTAGATCGTGCCACCGGCATGAGCAGTTAGCGCCAAATGAACGACTTGGGAAACCCAGCTTCAGCTTGATCACCAAATTAATTGGGAAATAAATGAAAGCATCAGCAGCTAGCAACCAATCTATTTTAGTTTCACTGTCCGATCATTCAAAAAACGAGCCCACTAATTGTTATTTTTTACCTTTCCACAAACGGTCTGGTATGCGTTGCTTGATATGAGCAAGTAATCCCAAATGTATCAAAGAATATGGAATGCGTCCACGATTAGTTAGTGGCTACTGCCTGGCCAGTGACCTAGCTAGCTATATTTCAGTAAATAGCTAACCTCCTAAATGCGGTGGTCAGTGGATAAACTAAGTTGAAGCGTTGAAAATATTAATCTGAAAACTAACTAGTCGCCAGTTATTCTTGCCCGTAGTGTAATCATGTCGAACCAGTTGGCTAATGTAGCCTGTATGCCCATGAACTCCCAAGTCTTGATAGCTGTGTCTTTTCAAGAAGGCTCAATCTAAATCACCCGACGGGTTCTATGTCGAGATTCATGAATATTCATGTATTGCCCCCCGCCTTCCTACAGAGGACATTTTGCTACTTGGATAGTACACCAATTTATTATTGGTTTACAATTTAGTATTCCAGCTAGCGAACATTAAAAAGTATTTTGAAAAACTTTGCAAGAATTGACATTTCCAACAAACGGAAATGTGTTCAGAAGAAATAAATATACGCAATATGTAAAAACCAGCTCCTCCCTCGACAGAGATCGATCATCTCGAAAACTAAAGCAGATAGCTTGCTACAGCCCACCACCTATTATTGTGGTGTAGAAAACGCAAACCATGATATAGATTTTTTAAAACTGTGCTTTAATGGACAGGGATAGGTATGTGGACTGTGCTTCATGTTGGTGCTGGAGATATGTTTGCACCTCTCTCCCCACATCCCTGTATCCCATAAAGGTGTGTGCATTTGATTATTTCGGCACCATTGGGCTACCGACTAATATAAATCCATGTTTTTTTATATTAGCACTGCACGCTCAGCAAGAGGAGCAGATAGTGTCCTCAAATATGGGACCATAGAAACTCCCCATACTAGAGGGGATCAAAGTCTATTATTTTTTTTTTACAGTATGTATGTATTTCATTGGTGGTGGTTAAGGTGAGTTACCCAACACATAATGTAAAGCACTTGTAGGCCTGATGGAAAGCGCTTTAAATAAATGCAATGCACCCATTCATTCATTTCTACGGCAGATAGTACAAAAAAAATACACATATCAGGAGTTAAATGGACACCATGATACCTCTGTGTTTTCTGACAGCTCGCAACATATTTTTGTACAGGAAAAGGATTTAAAAAAACTTTAAAATAACATACTTTTGAAGGAAAATAAGTCTTACTGAAGGGCGTTGTTGACCTGGGTATTGTGCTCTTTTGGTAGTAAAGCTGCCCCACAACTCCATTGGTCGACAGCAGGAGAGAAACAAAACCGCTCAACAGCCCTGAACTAAAAATAGGGTCCTCATTTGTCAATTTCGGTCCTTCAGTCGCCTTCTTATGACCTCTCCGTCTCTGTCATTCATTCTGGTTTGTATTATTCAGGCATGTATTCATTAGACACCAAATGGAATAAAAACAGTCTGAAACAAGGTGGGGCTATCTGATCTGGTCCCAGAAAAAAATGCTTGTTTTTGTTTTCCGTTTTGACATGTTTTAAAAATGTTTTCTGTTGCATGCCCTAATGAATATGACCCAGGTGTTGTTGGATGTTCCCATCTCTCTCACGTGATGAGGCAGCAGTTGATACAGCGTGGCCCCAGTCTTCTCTTCAGGACTCCCTTCTTCCTTTTGGGGGTCAGGATAGCGATGATGGCCTCATCAAATACAGTTTTCAGTCCTTTCTGGGTGAGAGCCGAGCATTCCACATAGACACACGCACCGATCTGAAGAGGAAGGGAGGGAAGGGCCAGGCTGTCACTCAAAACGATCAAGGAAAGGGTTAACCTCATCCCCAGGTTAGCTTAGGGAGGAAGTCTGGTGTTAGTCTAATAAAGGCTCAATCAACAAATGCCCACGACTGAAGAGATCCAAAGTTCATCATAACTGTCATAAATAATTGGTTTGATGCAGGACAACCCATCTAGTGTAGAGTAGGGTAAACCAACTGCCTTGTGGCCCATTTACGATCTCAATTCCTTCTGTAAACCTCTGCTGGCCCCACAGTGATACGTACCTCCCTGGCTAGCTTCTGGCCCTGCTCTGTGGTGATGGGCTTCTCCTTCATGTCATTCAGTTTGGCAATGGTCTTGGGGTCGTCACGAAGGTCAATCTGAAACAGGGAGAGATAACACAAACACTTCCTGTCAGCACAGTCACAGCCAATCAGTGAGGCAGACAATAGGCTGCTTAAGAAACTTCTTCAGTTGAGTGAACAACTTGTTCATTCAACTATCTTCCCCATTTTCAAAGAGCACCTCGGGTCAGACTTCTGTAAGAGGTACTCCTCCTCTGTTTCACCATTCTTCAGCTGAGTTTCACTGTAGTATTCAAACAGAGAATGTTCCATCTAGAGAAATGTGCCATATTAGTCCAGTGCAGCATTTACAAACCCAAACCCTGTTTCTCTATTCTCTTTTCTATAATTGTATTCCTTCATATGTTCTTGTGTGTTTGAATCTAACTTCAACCACGAGGCATTAGTCCCTTTTTTATTTTTATTTGAATGCAGAGCTGACACACAATGTCTGCCCGATCACGCTGTTCCTCTAGCACTCAATTAAAACTAATTAATCCTTTACCCGGCATATGCCCACTGATACGTGTAACAAACTCTTTATTGAGACAAACATTCATTAACACATCTGTGGTTGTGTTTGATTTGTGGCTCTGGTCTGTCTGAATTGATTTGGGTCCACATCAGTATGCAGTGTGACTGAGTTACGGTGGGACCGATAAAAGAGCAGTGAATATCAGCTGACAGAACGATAATATGCCCATGTTCTATTTCTGGTGGCCAGGGAACTGTTGGCGGATGGACACCCACAAGTGTGGTTTAAAAAGTGTCTGGACTGATCTCTTGGAAAGTATTTGAGAGCTGTGGCTCTAAATATTGAAGTCAACTAATACCAAAAAGCTAACATGTTCCATTTACTATTAAGTTCCATCTACCGTTAACATTTTTTAATGATTCGAAACTATACACCTATATTTCTTTATGCATGTTCGTGAATGGTCTTAAGAATAAAATAAACCAGAGTACAGTACATTTAAGTGGAGGTTCAGTTTTATAAATCGCCCCTCCCCTGTCAATGTGAAGTAGAGTGTGAGCATGAGTAAGGTGGACGAGGATAGAGCATGACAGGTGAATACAGCAGGCTCTGTGAAACTCAGCATGTGGAATGGCCAGGACAAAGTATAGAGACAGGTTCTGGGTGTGGTGGCTGTGGCTCGTTAGGCTCACCTGGGTGCCTATGAGGAGGTATGGGACACTGGGGGCATACTCCTGCAGCTCGGTGACCCACTCTTCCCTCACGTTCTGGAAACTGGCCGGGTTGACCACAGAGTAGCAGATGAGGAAGACGTCGGTCATGGGGTACGACAAAGGCCTCAAGCGGTCATAGTCCTCCTGGAAAAAGTGAAGGGAGGGTAATAAGAGAGAGACAAGTTAGGGGCGGGGAACAGGAGACACAGGGGAGAAAGAGAGTAACACCCTTCCTTAGATCATATCCACCAAGAGATTACCACATCCTCTGAATTATTATTCATGAATTATTCAACCATATGGAAAATGAGCTCCAAATGTAACCATCCTTATACCCCTCACTGAGGCTCTGAGGCAGAGAGGAGAGCGAACTTACACTGTGCTTATCTACTAGACTCCACCATGCACTGCCAAGCTACCAGGCTGTTTTATGGGAATAATGAACACTTTTATATGAAGGGAGTGATGAGCATGAAAAATAATGAGCGGATGTGCAGATTTCTACAGATGACCTTCATCAGACTTCTTCTTTTCTCTCTGTCACTCTCTGACTGTGGCCATTGGGCATTATTTCACATTAGCAGTACTTTACAGGAAGTATTGCGGAAGACATCAGACAAACTGCCATCTCCGATAGGCCTCAGTTTATTGTATGGAGCTAATAGCTAATTCACATACAACATGGTCGTGTTGCCGTAAATGAGATCAAGCGTTTCCTCATCACTCCCTGATAACTACATCAGCACATATGAATATTCATGAGTTGTCTGACTTTAGGAGCATCCACAGCACACTCTGAATGACCAGACTTTATATACGTGGGCCATACACACCAAAATGACCAGAGTTTATACAAGTGATGCCGAGCGCACACATCAAGACTAGTTATGATATGATGGGCAAAGGTGGCAAGCTTGAAGAATGGAAATTAATGGGTCTTCTGTCATTAATATGACTTGTCTGATTAAGCTTAACAAACTAACTTAATCAACATTGCTCAAGTCAAGACCAGACTCACGAAAAATCAAAGTGAATTAAATTCTGTGCAATGGATCATTAAGAAGTCTTGGACAACCTTGTGGCGATGCCACCATAGTATCTGTTATTCCCACTTATGGTGAGCGCAGTGGTTTCAAGAACTGATGGAATTAAGAGAAAGAATTGCCTTCATGAAACCTAGCTGATGTCTTACAGAAAAAATGCTGATACTCTTCTTTCCAGTCCATTAAAAACTGTTTGTGAGAATACATGTCAGCATGTGTTCATGTGAATTCCCAAGTGTGTGTGTGTGTGTGTGTGTGTGTTAGAGCTGGAAGATATGGAACAAAAATCCATATTGGGATAAATTGCCTGAATTTACATGATAACGATAAATAGAACGATACGTTTATAACATTAATGTGCACCACAGTTAATTTTTTGATCGTATGAAGGAGGAAGAAGGAAGTGTAAAAATGCAAGAGGGGCCAGTAAAGAAGTAAAACAGAGGAAGGAAAAGAGAAAGTAAACTGAAGAGGGTTTATATTGAGAAGCTAATAAAGGCCCTCAAGGCAGGGCAGATTCCAACCACTCTCCCCATACGCGTCCTTACATTTCTATCAGGGCAAGGCTTTTTATGGCATTTCTACTTGGCTGGTATGTGATCTCAGCTGTGAGCGAGTGTGTCAAGTCAGTGACATATGAGCGTCTATAATGTCAGTGAGTCACTCCCCCTCTTCCTCGGGCCCGGCAGCTGTGTCAGGGACACCTGTTCAGACCACAGGGAGAATAATGAGCGCAGGCACTACGCTTCATGGTCCAGACACAGAACTGTCTGAAGACTGCACTGTAAAGGGGTTACTGTGAATTTTACTGTTTCTTGGTTGCCAGTATGGATTAATATTTTCCCGAAAATCTACCAAGTACAAAACAGCGCAGAGAAGCGGGGGAAATGTTATAGCGGTATTTAGACATGCATAGGCGAGAGACGTGCTTTGATAGTGCAAGCCATGGATTACAGAATAAAGTGAGGAATTTTCATGCTAGACAGTAGTCAAGAGTAGTAGTAGTCCTCTGTCGCTCAGCTGGTAGAGCATGGCGCTTGTAACGCCAGGGTAGTGGGTTCGATCCCCGGGACCACCCATACGTAAAAATGTATGCACACATGACTGTAAGTCGCTTTGGATAAAAGTGTCTGCTAAATGGCATATTATAAGATTTTGGGTTTCAATGGGATTGGGACTGGATAGGAAAATAGCCTAGGCTCTAGGACAAGAGAAGATACAATTTTCCCTCATGCCTCTGAATTGTTAACAGAAGCCTATGTAGTGAATTGTGCATAGGCCTATCAAATTTGTGACTGTCTGAAGAGTCACAATGACAGCTAAAAGAGGCACACGTTTTTTGTAGTCTATACAGCGCATTCGGAAAGTATTCAGACCCCTTGACATTCTCCACATTGTTACGTTACAGCCTTATTATAAAATTGATTAAATATTTTTTTCTCTCTTATCTACACACAATACCACATAATGACAAAGTGAAACAGGTTTTTAGAAATTCTTCCAAATGTATGAAAAAAAAAAAAAACGTATTCAGACCTTTTGCTATGAGACTCGAAATTGAGCTCAGGTGCATCCTGTTTCCACTGATCTTCCTTGAGATGTTTCTACAACTGGATTAGAGTCCACCTATGGTAAATTCAATTGATTGAACATAATTTGGAAAGGCACATATCTGTCTATATAAGGTCACGCAATTGACAGTGCATGTCAGAGCAAAAACCAAGCCATGAGGTCGAAGGAATTGTCTGTAGAGCTCTGAGACAGGATTGTGTCGAGGCACAGATCTGGGGAAGGGTACCATACCACTTCTGTAGCATTGAAGGTCCCCAAGAACACAGTGGCCTCCATCATTCTTAAATGGAAGAAGTTAGGAACCACCAACTCTTCCTAGAGCTGGCCGCCCAGCCAAACTGAGCAAAATCGGGGAGAAGGGCCTTGGTCAGGGAGGTGACCAAGAACCCGATGGTCAGTCTGACAGAGCTCCAGAGTTCCTCTGTGGAGATGGGAGAATCTTCCAGAAGGACAACCATCTCTGCAGCACTCCACCAATCAGGCCTTTATGGTAGAGTGGCCAGACGGAAGCCACTCCTCAATAAAAGGCACATGACAGCCCGCTTGGAGTTGTCTCAGACCATGAGAAACAAGATTCTCTGGTCTGATGAAACCAAGATTGAACTCTTTGGCCTGAGTGCCAAGCGTCACGTCTGGAGGAAACCTGGCACCATCTTTACGGTGAAGAATGGTGGTGGCAGCATCATGCTGAGGGGATCTTTTTCAGCGGCAGGGACTGGGAGACTAGTCAGGATCGAGGGAATGATGAACGGAGCAAAGTACAGAGAGATCCTTGATGAAAACCTGCTCCAGAGCGCTCAGGACGTTCCAAGATGGCGAAGTAGTGCAGTCCTGTTTCTGTCGTGTGTCTGTAAATAGCCTGTAAATACCTTGTTTTTTTGTATTTTTCGTACCTATTTCCCTATCAGACTTTTCATCCTTCTACAAAATATACTTTCCTGCAACCCGCCTCACTCAATGTGGAACGGATTCTATTATTGACTTACCTTTTATCTAGAATCTCCAGTGAAACTAGCTAGCCAGCTAGCCAGCTAACTAGCTACTTGCTATTAGCCATAGCTAGCGGTGTTTCACCCAGAACATTGGATTTTTTTCTGCGGGATTAATTTTAATCACTGGACATTGATCACCGGATATTCGGCCAGTCTGCACAGCGCGTTATCGACCCAGAACATATCAGTTTTTTCCGCCGGAATCATTGAATCACTGGACCTTTAACTCCGGATTCGTCGCTACCAGCTAGCTACAACAAAACGGACGCTGTGGTCTGGCTAATTATCCTGAGCTAGGCCCATCTCCCGGCTATCTACCTCTCTGTCAACCGGACGGGACCACCTAGTGTTGACACGGAGCCCCGCCGATCCTACACGACTGGTCTGCCGACGAAATCGTCTGATGTGGTTACGACGTTAACCACGAAGATTCCATCCATCTGCTAGCCCTGGCCCGCTAGCCGTGGCCTCTTACTCACTAGTACTTCACCACCGGACCTTATGATAACTCAGCTATACAGCTGATATCTGCTGGACTGTTCCTTTTTACGGTACTACATCCTGTTTATGTTTAGCCTCAGCCCAAACATGGTTAGTTTATTGTTGTTTCGGTTATTTCTAATTGTACTATATCACTGTAGACCCCCCAGCCTAGCTAAACCTGCCTTAGATAGCTCCTTTGCACCTCCCCCAATACACGCGGAGACCGACTCAATTGATGCCTCCAGCGATGCTATCTCTTTCATCGTTACCCAACGCTTAGGTTTACCTCCACTTTACTCATATCCTTCCATATCCTTGTCTGTACATAATGCCCTGAATCTTTTCTATAACACCCGGAAATCTGCCCCCTTTATTCTATGTACCCAACGCACTAGAAGACCAGTTCTTAAAGCCTTTAGCCGTATCCTTATTCTAGTCCTCCTCTGTTCCTCTGGTGATGTAGAGGCTAACCCAGGCCCTGCAGCCCTCAGTATCACTCCTACTCCCCAGGCGCTATCATTTGATGACTTCTGTAATCGCAAAAGTCTTGGTTTCTTGCACATAAATATCAGAAGTCTACTTCCTAAGTTTGAGTTATTCACTGCGTTAGCACACTGCCAACCCTGATGTTCTAGCAGTGTCTGAATCCTGGCTCAGGAAGGCCACCAAAAATTCTGAAATTTCCATCCCCAACTATAACATTTTCCGTCTAGATAGAACTGCCAAAGGGGGTGGAGTTGCAATCTACTGTAGAGATAGCCTGCAGAGCTCTATCATACTATCCAGGTCTGTGCCCAAACAGTTTGAGCTTCTACTTCTAAAAATCCACCTTTCCAGAAATAAGTCTCTCACTGTTGCCGCTTGCTACAGACCCCCCTCAGCCCCCAGCTGTGCCCTGGACACCATATGTGAATTGATTGCCCCCCATTTATCCTCAGAGTTTGTACTGCTTGGTGACCTAAATTGGGATATGCTTAATACCCCAGCCATCCTACAATCCAAGCTAGATGCCCTCAACCTCACGCAAATTATCAACGAACCTACCAGGTACAACCCTAAATCCGTAAACATGGGTACCCTCATAGATATCATCCTGACTAACATACCCTCTAAATACACCTCAGCTGTCTTCAACCAGGATCTCAGCGATCACTGCCTTATTGCCTGCGTCCGTAACGGGTCCGCGGTCAAACGACCACCCCTCATCACTGTCAAACGCTCCCTAAAACACTTTAGCAAGGAGGCCTTCCTAATTGACCTGGCCCAGGTATCCTGGATGGATATAGATCTCATTCCGTCAGTAGAGGATGCCTGGTTGTTCCTTAAAAGTAATTTCCTCTCAATCTTAAATAAACATGCCCCATTCAAAAAATACAGAACTAAGAACCGATATAGCCCCTGGTTCTCCTCAGACTTGACTGCCCTTGACCAGCACAAAAACATCCTGTGGCGTACAGCATTAGCATCAAATAGCCCCCGCGATATGCAACTTTTCAGGGAAGTTAGGAACCAATATACACAAGCAGTCAGGAAAGCAAAGGCTAACTTTTTCAAACAGAAATTTGCATTCTGTAGCACTAACTCCAAAAAGTTTTGGGACACTGTAAAGTCCATGGAGAATAAGAGCACTTCCTCCCAGCTGCCCACTGCACTGAGGCTAGGAAACACTATCACCACCGATAAATCTACAATAATCGAGAATTTCAACAAGCATTTTGCTACAGCTGGCCATGCTTTCCATCTGGCTACCACTAACCCGGCCACCAACTCTGCACCCTCTGCTGCAACTTGCCCATGCCCCCCCCGCTTCTCCTTCACACAAATTCAGACAGCTGATGTTTTGAAAGCGCTGCAAAATCTGGACCCCTACAAATCAGCTGGGCTAGACAATCTGGACCCTTTCTTTCTAAAACTAGCCACTGAAATTGTCGCTACCCCTATTACTAGTCTGTTCAACCTCTCTTTCATAACGTCTGAGATCCCCAGAGATTGGAAAGCTGCCGCGGTCATCCCCCTCTTCAAAGGGGGTGACACTCTAGATCCAAACTGCTACAGACCTATATCCATCCTGCCCTGCCTTTCGAAAGTATTCGAAAGCCAAGTTAACAAACAGATCATCGACCATTTCGAATACCACCGTACCTTCTCCGCTATGCAATCCGGTTTCCGAGCTGGTCACGGGTGCACCTCAGCCACGCTCAAGGTCCTAAACGATATTATAACCGCGATTGATAATAGACAGTACTGTGCAGCCGTCTTCATCGACCTGGCCAAGGCTTTCGACTCTGTCAACCACCGCATTCTTATTGGCAGACTAAATAGCCTTGGTTTCTCAAATGACTGCCTCGCCTGGTTCACCAACTACTTCTCAGATAGAGTTCAGTGTGTCAAATCGGAGGGCCTGTTGTCTGGACCTATGGCAGTCTCTATGGGGGTGCCACAGGGTTCAATTCTTGGGCCGACACTTTTCTCCGTGTATATCAATGATGTCGCTCTTGCTGCTGGTGACTCTCAGATCCACCTCTACGCAGACGACACCATTTTGTATACATCTGGCCCTTCATTGGACACTGTTTTAACAAACCTCCAAACGAGCTTCAATGCCATACAACAATCCTTCAGTAGCCTCCAACTGCTCTTAAACACTAGTAAAACTAAATGCATGCTTTTCAATCGAACGCTGCTGGCACCCGCCCACCCGACTAGAATCACCACTCTCGACGGGTCTGACCTAGAGTATGTGGACAACTACAAATACCTAGGTGTCTGGTTAGACTGTAAACTCAACTTCCAGACTCACATAAAGAATCTCCAATCCAAAGTTAAATCTAGAATCGGCTTCCTATTTCGCAATAAAGCCTCCTTCACTCATGCTGCCAAACATGCCCTCGTAAAACTGACTATCCTACCGATCCTTGACTTCGGCGATGTAATTTACAAAATAGCCTCCAACACTCTACTCAGCAAATTGGATGTAGTCTATCACAGTGCCATCCGTTTTGTCTCCAAAGCCCCATACACTACCCACCACTGTGACCTGTACGCTCTTGTTGGCTGGTCCTCACTACATGTTCGTCGTCAAACCCACTGGCTCCAGGCCATCTATAAATCACTGCTAGGCAAATCCCCGCCTTATCTTAGCTCATTGGTCACCATAGCAGCACCCACCCGTAGTCTGCGCTCCAGCAGGTATATCTCACTGGTCATTCCCAAAGCCAACACCTCCTTTGGCCGCCATTCCTTCCAGTTCTCTGCTGCCAATGACTGGAACGAATTGCAAAAATCTCTGAAGCTGGAGACTCTTATCTCCCTCAATAACTTTAAGCATCAGTTGTCAGAGCACCTTACCGATCACTGCACCTGTACACAGCCCATCCGAAATTAGCCACCCAACTACCTCATCCCTATATTGTTATTTATTTTGCTCTTTTGCACCCCAGTATCTCTATTTGCACATAATCTCTTGCACATCTAGCATTCCAGTGTTAATACTATTGTAATTATTCTGCACTATAGCCTATTTATTGCCTTACCTCCATAACTTGCTACATTTGCACACACTGTATATATATTTTCTGTTGTATTTCTGACTTTTTTTTTTTTTTTTTACCCCATATGTAACTGTGTTGTTTTTATTGCACTACTTTGCTTTATCTTGGCCAGGTCGCAGTTGTAAATGAGAACCTGTTCTCAACTGGCTTACCTGGTTAAATAAAGGTGAAATAAAATAAATAAATAAAAGGACCTCAGACTGGGGCGAAGCTTCACCTAACAGGACAAAGACCCTAAGCACACAGCCAAGGCAACGCAGGAGTGGCTTCGGGACAAGTGTCTGAATATCCTTGAGTGGCCCAGCCAGAGCCCGGACTTGAACCCGATCGAACATCTCTGGAGAGACCTGAAAATAGCTGTGCTGCGACATGCCCCATCCAACCTGACAGAGCTTGAGAGGATCTGCAGAGAAGAAATGGGAGAAACTCCCCAAATACAGGTGTGCCAAGCTTGTAGCGTCATACCCAAGAAGACTCGAGGCTGTAGTCGCTGCCAAAGGTGCTTCAGCAAAGTACTGAGTAAAGGGTCTGAATAGTTATGTAAATGTGATATTTCCGTTTATTTTTAATACATTTGCAGAAATTTCTAAAAACCAGTTTTTGCTTTGTCATTATGGGGTATTGTGTGTAGATTGAAGAGGAAAAACAACAATTTTATCCATTTTAGAATAAGGCTGTAACGTAACAAAATGTGGAAAAAGTCAAGGACCCTGAATACTTTCCGAATGCACTGTATATAGGAGTTTTCTGTAGGGTTTATTAATGGCATTCAGGTCGCATGTGCAGTCCGGCAATGTCAATTGTGCGTGTGCTTTGAATTTATGGCGACTTTGTGTGAAGTAAATAAACTGGGCTAAAGGCTTCCATGTGACAAACTGTTTGGATAATGTGCCATTTAGTTTTTTGCTAATCTGCTGCTGCGAATGTTGTGTATTTTGTGGAATTGCATTAGTGCGACATTGAGGAAATGTTTTACTTCCCAGGTCTTGTAAATGTAAATGTAAATGTCTTGTCATTTAATTATTTCGGGAAATGTGAAGAGTGTTCCCGGACAGTCCCAGGATCCCGGTTACCCATGTTAATCCCTAGTTGCCAGCTAGTTACTGTATTTCATATTACAGTACTTCACCAAAACTGTCTGAGCATTTCCCAACACGAGATGAACCATGTAGAATAGAGTGCTAGTTCCATCTGAGTTATCATATTCAAGGTGATTACATCACATTCCATATCATGGCGCATTAGACCTATGATGGTCAATGGTGAAACAGTTTAAAACATCCATCAGCAGCCTCTAGCTGTAGTGTTCAAATGAACATGAAATGTCTGGTGCTCTCATTGGTGGTTCTCCCGAGTGGCGCAGTGGTCTAAGGCACTGCATTGCAGTGCTAGCTGTGCCACTAGAGATCCTGGTTCGAATCCAGGCTCTGTCATAGCCGGCTGCGACCGGGAGACCAATGGGGCGGCGCGCAATTGGCCCAGCGTCGTCCAGGGTAGGGGAGGTAATGGCCGGCAGGGATGTAGCTCAGTTGATAGAGCATGGCGTTTGCAACGCCAGGGTTGTGGGTTTGATTCCCACAGGGGGTATGAAAAAAAAAAATGTATGCATTAACTGTAAGTCGCTCTGGATAAGAGCGTCTGCTAAATGACTAAAATGTAATGTAAAAATGTGTTCAAAGGGGCATGACACGTCTAGCTACCTCCCATTGGGGTTCAGCTCAGTGGAGGGGAACAAGGCCCTGCAGCAGCAGCAGAGCAGAGCCCATTTTACTCTCTACCCCCTGCAGGGATGTCTAGGGGTCACTGGGTCACATCTCAGGGAGGGCACCGAGTCAAACTTAACGAGGCACTGTACAAAACAACAGGAGGGGGGATAGTCACAGAAGAGTGATGGAAGGATGTGCAACTGAGTGTGAAGAGTGTGAGTGCAGAAGGGAATGAGCAAATTAGGAGCTGAGCAGCAACAAAGGGAGAGAGTGAAGAGACCGATCCCAGGGGGACGCCGTGTTGCCATGGGTACTACAACAGCACTTAACATCCACTTCCTGCTTTCTCCTCATATCCACAGAAGCAATGCTATGCTAGCTTGCTATGATGAGTGCATCAGCCAGGGAGAGGATTAATTAATAAATAAATAAGACTCTCCATTCCTTCTGTTCTTGGCCCACATATTCAAGAGCGAAGAGATGTGATCTAACATGTTACGTGTAGACCTATGGAATATACGGGTGGTGTAATAAGCAATACCCAGACAAAAACATAGGGCAAGGCAGATAGAATACAGTGACACACCTTACTGTATGCTAGCGCACTGTCAATGACTGTTAATGATGTCATACAATGGGGTCACATGTGAGGAGAGTGACAGCACAATTGCTTAAAAATACATAATCTCCTTGTCTCCTCCCCTTCATCTGACTTCAAGAGACTTGACAGGTGAAAACAATATGGTGGAAGCTCATCTTTAGGCTGGCTTTCACCTGGTCTGTTCTTCCAGATCAGAGTGATGAAGAAGAGGCGAAGAGAATATGGATTTTTAAGGCAATTGAGACAGAGCCTATGTCTGCACAGCATTATTTTCTCTTTGAGCAAATGGTTCATCATCTTCCCTTATGAAACAGCTGAGGATTCTGGGAGCTTCAGCTCTGCCAGGTACATAAATATTAAACGGTCCATGGAGCCAATAAAACATGTGTAATGCAGAGCATGAGGTGGGGACTGTAGCAGGAGAGTGTGAATTGGCGGGTGGGTGGCTGGGTTAGACAAGGTTCCTCAACAGAGAGAAGTACAGTATTAAGCATTGTATTCTTCTACATCCCCCGCCTGAGCCTCCTAAGGATGCATTACAGGATTCCAGAGCAGATTTGCAGTTTTCCGCTCCCCTTTACTCCGTTTTTTCCCCTTTCTCTCAGCAAGCCCCTCGGTCTCGCTCGCTTCCTCTTTCCCCGCCGTCTCCCTCGCTTCCTCTCCATCTCTTGGTTTCCCTCCCTCTCGCTCTCTGGCACTCCCTTCTTTGATCAGATGCTGAAGCTATAAACATTACCAGCTGGCTTTGTGCTCAGCCTAAAGAAGTCAGCCAGGGTGGGGGTGGAGGATTGGAGGACTGGAGGGGCTGCGTTTGAAGGGAAGTAACTCTACTCTCTGTGGCCTCGGCGCCCACAGTCGACATCTGGGAAACTTCTCCATTTCACAGTCCTGAATCAGCTAAAACAAAAAGGCTCTAGACATGGAATTGCAATCAAACACAAAGGGGTAAACAAAAAGCAGTGTGAATCACTACTGATTAGTCGTTTTACGATCATATAGTTTCTCTGAAGAATGAGTTATGGCAGCTACATATTTAAGTGGGAATAATGATTTGGAGTAGGTGGAAACAATAGGAACTGTAATTTGCTACACATGTACTTATATTGTATTAATGAACAAACAATAGGCCTATTGTACTATTTCTCAACCTCAAATCTATTCACATTTCACCGGGCGGATAATGTTTCAGTTCAAGACCTTGTTTGGACTTCACACAGCTAAATCAGGTTCAGAGGAGAGTGTTAACAATTCATCACTGCATATGACATGCCTTAGCTTCAGACCCAGCTTCAGTGAGTATGTGCTCTTACAAAAAAAAATCCACACAAAAACAAAATCGGTGTATCACATATGAGGATTCGACAGGATCACCAATACTCACTGAAGAACAAATCAATAGCATCTGTTGGAGACAGACAGGTAGCGTGGCGAATGAGGTGAGCTCTCTGGTCATTCTCGCTTCTCTTCTTCGCGAAGAGCATTACCCTCTAAGCGCTCCCCTGCACGACTGGATCCCTGGTTTGAACCGTGAAGGATATCGTTGCCGGGCGTACGTCTTTAGACCCCGTCGAAAGGTTGAGTAATGACCGAAAGTTTTTGCTTTGTGTACAAACTGCAGTCTCCGTTGGTAGCTAGCTTCATGGCTAGCTATTGTGACTCGGTTAGCCCATGCTGCAAGACTTCGGCTAACTAGGCTAGCTCACTGAGAGGCAAGCTAACCTGCACACACGGTAGCATTGCTAGCTCCCTTCTCTCATATAGCTTAACCTACGTTCACCCGTTGCGTTAAATAGACAAACTATCTCAGCAAAACGGCTCCTTCAGTCGCAGGAGCAAACTCTGCCCCCACGTGTTTCCCTTCAGCCATCACTGAGCTAGCTACGGCAAACCTTCACAACCATCCCAGGACAAGCTTAGTCCAGCACTCAAACCCCCACGTTCTTGTGCTTGCGGTTCCATGATTGCGGTGAAGGATTTCCACTCTCAATGCATCAAATGGTATACTTTAAAAGCTAGTATACTTTAAATGCCCGGATGTCATACTCATTTCGGCTTTGACAACAGCTGATCAATTAGATATGGGGATGCGCTACCGAAATCAACGAATAGCAGGAAACAACGCAATCACGCATGACACATTCTCAGTATGCGAAAATCGAGTATGGTTTAAATTAGGGTTGGGCCGATATATGATTAAAGTGAATATCGCGATATTTGACATTGATGATATATCGTATAGTCTTGCACGTCACTCTATTTGATTGCTTTCAACTCAAAACGGTGCAGTTTTATCAGTTAGACTGTATGAATATGTTGAAAATGAAGCCTTATGTTTTGCCATTCTAAGGTTATTTAATTAGAATGGGACTATAATATCGTAAATAAGCACAATTGCAGTCTGGAAATATCTAGTTATTAACGGTGCGAAACGATTATATTGGATATCGCGATATTTGGAGTAGTATATCGTAGAAGAGGTCTCCCCAAATGTCCCCCAACCCTAGTTTAAATGCCAGGATGTTATACTCATTTCGGCCATTTTCCACAGTGCATTGAAAGAGGAAGGCTGCGAGTGATAGGCCATAGTTCTCTTCAAGTAGCAAAATAACAAAACTAGGCTTGTTAATCGGGAAGATGCCCGAAGCTTCTGTGGTGGTGTTCAAATGTAGGCTAAGTAGTTTTTGTTCTCCTTAAAATGATCACGAGTATTGCATCGTAGGCTACATCTTTGAAAACAGACTAACTGGATTTCTGTTTTTGCACTGAAAAGTGTATTGTTGTCTTGGCCTTCGTCAGAGTTTTTTAACTAAATACTAAACCATCTTTTGATTTCTGAATGTGTCGGCACCGGGGACTCTGGACGTGGCTGTGTTATTGATGTCATGTTAATCAGGCCTTTTGATTTGAACACATTGATTGTTTTAGTTTTGTAGGCTAGGCTACCTATTTAATAAATGGATCAAGCCTTACCAGTCATTCTCATCTCGTTCCCAATGATCAGTGCTTTAGTTTATTATGTTGCTGTCCAGCGGTTCTGAATTTGCTATGCAGTTTTGGTGTACTATGTAATGAACTTATCCTCTGAGGTAACTCTGGGTCTTCCTTTCCTGTGGCGGTCCTCATGAGAGCCAGTTTCATCATAGCGCTTGATTGCTTTTGCAACTGCACTTGAAGAAACTTTCAAAGTTATTGAAATGTTCCAGATTGACTGACCTTCATGTCTTAAAGTAACAATGGACTGTCGTTTCTCTTTGCTTATTTGAGCTGTTCTTGCCATAATATGGAGTTCGTCTTTTACCAAATTGGGCTATCTTCTGTATACCAACCCTACCTTGTCACAACACAACTGATTGGCTCAAACGCATTAAGAAGGCAAGAAATTCCACAAATTAATGTTTAACAAGGCACACCTGTTAATTGAAATGCATTCCAGGTGACTATCTCATGAAGCTGGTTGAGATAATGCCAAGAATATGCAACGCTGTCATCAAGGCAAAGGGTGGCTACTTTGAAGAATCTAAAATATATTTAGATTTGTTTAACACTTTTTTGGTTACTACATTATTCCATATGTGTTATTTCATAGTTGAGATGTCTTCACTATTATTCTACAATGTAGAAAATAGTAAAAATAAAGAAAAACCCTGGAATGAGTAGGTGTGACCAAACTTTTGACTGGTATTGTATACATGTTACAGCACTTTGGTTTCACTAATAAATATATTGAAATGGAACAAAATGATCCGTTTCTGTCTTCAGCCATTTAAAAAAAAGACAGATGGGCTATATGGTCTACTACAGTATAGGTCGAATGTGATAGTCTGCCTATAACCAGCCTGAGTATTCTATTCAGTTTAGAGAAATTAATCAAATTAATGCGATGCATGTCTGTTGAATTTGGACAAATTCAACTGCACTCGACCCGCCCCACCTACTCAGCCAATCAGGAGCAGATACCGAGGCATGCTGCATACTTTTTACTAAACGGTACGTGCTAAATAGTATGCGACGATAAGTAAATAGTATGCAGTTTATGTATGTAATATGTATTCGGACTGCCAGTGACAACATCCCTACTAGACACTGGACATAAGACCCCTGTTCCTCACATAATAGACCCATTGAAATGCTTCGCTAGGCCTAAAACCACTGTCTATCACAGACCAGACTTGAAACTAGAGCAATGTGTAAACCACACCTGTTGCAGCTTAGAGTCTGGTCAGAATTTCAAGCTTGCGGGTGTGTCCAGAGCACCATTGGTTAACAGTACATGGGGATAGGTTGTGTCCTTGGATGTGGCATGCTTGGCATGCAGCCAGAGTTAAAATAAACCCACTGTACCTGACCAGCTGTGTCGTACAATCCCAATAAGTACTGCTTCCCGCCAACGTTGACACTCACTGCAAAGCAATGGAAAAGTATAGTTTAGAGGGGTGGGGGGGGGGGGGTCTCGGAGCCAAACAAGTGGCTTTGATTACAGAAACAGATGTATTCCTATGCAATCTGAGCCAAAAAGTAAGCAAAACATTCGAATAAACACTTCACCTTCTCCTAAACATTGGATTTTGGTAGACTATCCAAGCAAATTGGCATAGAGATTAAACTCATGCAACTATAACTAGGCTACTGAAAGAATGATGTCAGCTTTTATAATTAACGATTGGCTAATTGGTAATGGTTCCATTCGAGACAACACCCATATGTATGATAATGTATGATCATTACATGCTCCAAAGTCCCCTTACCTGCATAATGGTCAAACACAGTGGGCACATACTCCTCTGGAAAGGCGTCGTTGGCATAGCTCATCAACAGACACGTTTTGCCCACAGCACCGTCTCCAACCACAACGCATTTCAACATAATAGTGCCGGTTCCGTTTGCCATGATGATCCTATCATCACCATCATCCTCCGACGCCCTGTTTTCCTGAGATGCACGGCGATCCCCACACCACGGGCATCACCAGAGTCAAGAGTCCGACTGCGCGACGCACCGAAACCAATGGAAATTCAATTTCTTCTCATCGCCACCGTGTTGGCTTAAATTAGTTTCCTTTCTACCCTGCATACACAAACTGCACATACACTGTGTAGGGTGGCTATCTACCGGTTCAGCAAAGTCTATAAAGTCCCTGCGGTCGATACGGCGTCACTCCCGTCTCCCGCCCTGTCGGTGATGTCTTTGCAAGACACGCGCTTGGAAGCCCACTGCCGAGCTTGTTCCCCAGTTCGCCCCTTGACTCTCCGTCCCTCGCCTAAATTGCATTGGCACTATAGACAAGGTAGGTTCGCTTGTTGTAGAGGCGGGGCTATATCCGAGACCAAGGGGCTCTGGTAAAAATCCACAGATTGTGGATAGTTTATTGATTTTAGTATACTTCTTTGTAAAATTCTATTTGTCATCGTTCTTACACTTGATTTGCATCTTTAGACAAACATGTTTTGGCATATACCTTATGCATAATGGTGTTCGATTTAGAGACTTTCTCTATTACTTTCCTGATAAATCCAAAATTATTACAAAATTGCACAAAATCATTAGCTCTGATTATACTGCCTAGATCTGCATTAGCCAAAGTATGACAATGTCATGATGACCTGAAGATTTAGACTAAGTGAGAGGTCTGGGGGTCTCCAGTAAGATATGGTCGTTGGCGATGGATGAGAGAGTGGAAGGGAGTTATTGCGAGGATCCGGCAGATGGAGACAACACAGGAGGGAGTGGATGCTGTGAAAATACAGTAGAAGAAGAGATGGCTTGACCTCTGTGTTGCACTCATCTTCATTACCTTTCTCAAGAGGAGGAGGAAGAACAAGCAAACAAATGAACACACATGCACAGGCACACACAGACAGACACAAACACACACCTGTGTTTCTGATAGTGGTGGGAACAGCTGTCTCGTTAAACATGTTTGTCCCAGCAAACATTTGATGGCCTGGACTTCTCTCTCATATTATATTTCCATTTGATATCATATGTCACATGTGCACATATGCATACATTCCCACCCCACAACAACCCTACAGTTCATGTCCACTTTGTTGATAGTCCCTAGCCAGATGTCTACGGTCCAATCAGAATCAGGGGGCGTGGCTAAGAAGAGCTGAGAAGATGTGCCTTTGAACCTTCAGTGTAGCCCTATCATCACATTTTGACAGTTGCTGCAGCTGTCACATGACCAAACAATTACCTCATACTTGCTGTTAAAATCATGTAACTTATTAGATGTTACATATGAGCCAATCAGAGAAGAGAAGCAACAGTCTTTAGTCAAATTCCAAATGAGACTATCTGCATTGCCTTTATGTAATCTATAATGAATGCACATAAAATGCATATATTAATTTAGCCTACTGTATATGAACTGTATATAATACATTGCTTCATTTTACCCAGATGTATAAGCTAGGTTACTGGTGTAAGTTTGATGTTGGTAAGCTACATGAGTTCATTAGTGAGCTGCTGACCTTATTTCCCAGTGGATGACATTTAATATCAACTGTCTATTTTTGTAACCAGACTAGGTTTAAAGGTGAAGGCATCTGTAAAAGACATGGCTTGCCTTTTATCCTGTCCCAGTAGTTCCTTTTTGACTGTTTGTAGAGAACATTTACTTGAAATTAAATGTGCATGCAAATTAATCAAAATCTGTGTCTCAGTATCTACGGTAACTGATAACAGTCTCCAGCACTTCATTTGGATCGGTATGCTCTTCTATCATATTTCTAGATAATACCTTTTTTCATGTCACATGTGCACACAAATACATGCACAGACACGCACATGCACGTACGTACACACACATGCACATATACGCACATGAACACATACACACAAAACGCAAAGACGCGCGGAAACACACACACAGTGTCAATTTTCCAATGTGTAACAAGCTTGGGGAAGACAGGCATATGAGTGATGGTTTGTTCCATCAGCTGCTGGCAGTTCTAGGGTATGAGTCCAGCCTTCACTAAAAATATGGCCTGTAATTTCACCAATCCCTCAGTGTGGTCCTGTATTGCACATTCTAATTTAAGAGCTCATCTCAGGGCTTTTGATTGCTCCCCTCTCTCCTCTCTCCTGTCTTATTGCACGTCTTCACTTCCAACCATTGATTGATGCTGCTTGGAATGGGATGGAGAAAAGTGTTTGTGTGTGTGTGTGTGTGTGTGTGTGGTGTGTGTGTGTGTGGTGTGTGTGTGGTGTGTGTGGTGTGTGTGTTTGTGTGTGTGTGTGTGGTGTGTGTGTGTGGTGTGTGTGTGGTGTGTGTGTGGTGTGTGTTCGTGTGTGTGTGTGTGTGTGTGTGTGTGTGTGTGTGTGTGTGTGTGTGTGGTGTGGTGTGTGTGCGTACATGCATATGTCTGTGTCCTCTTTAGGTCTCTAAGGTACACTATTACAAAATATCACTGTATGCAAATAATCATTTTGTTATGTTCACCTCTGTATGCAAACATTTTCCTCCATGTTCCTCTATGACCTGTGTAATGAATGATGATACTGTGATAAACCATTTATCCTTTATTTTTCTCTTGAGGGTTGACTTTTTTTGAGAGAGAGACCTGAAAAAATGTCAGCACGGGGAAAGCATTAGAAGTGTACGTCGTCCATCAAATAAATATAATACATAAAACACAGTCACTACAATACATATAGAAGCAAAATTGAGTTTCTAAAATCTATCAAATGTATTATATAATATATGGTAATTAAAATTGGTCATCATTGTAATCTAGCATGTCCTTGAGCTCATAGAGTGACACCAATCCCAGTGGCTCAAGTTGCTAGTTGTCAAATTTACCAATACCACAATGTTTTTCCATGTGAACACCTGTTTCACATATCTAGGCCTACAGAGGACAACAGTACTGCAGTACTTCCTTTGCTGTCCTATATTTAGAGAGAAAACAAAAGCATGAGATCGCTCCCCTCCTCTGTTACCTATTGTGTTTGCTTTGGAGAGGAACGCCACACCAGAAAGTTAACAAAAGAAGGTAATATCTTGACTTGACTAAAAAGGATAATGACTGGAAGCCAATAGAACACAAAAAGTTAAAAGATTAAATTAAAAGATTAAATTAAAAGATAGAGATAACAATGAAGGCATTTCTGTGGAAAATAATCTAAATCCAAACATCCTGTCCTATCTGCTGTTTTTGTCATTTTGCGTTTGATGTAAAAAATGTGTCTGTGTCACGTCACCAGTGTGGGAGGAAGCTGATACATACGTTTAGACTTTTGTTTACCATGAACTGGATTGGTTTCAGATACTAAGATTAAAGATTTCCTTTCATCCTGCAACTCATGCCCCTTTGAAAGTCTGTTCTCAGACATATCAACCCTAACCATAGGGAGGCTGTTTCAGGTGAAAAGGAAGGTTTGCTCAGCTGGATAAAAGCCTGACTGCTCTGTGGAGGAAAATATACAAGTGTCACAACCATTCAGTGTCTTTGGCAATGATTGACCACAGGTAGTGACTCTAATCATAAGAGCAATGACAAATGCCACTTCACACAGCAGCTTGTATGGACAATTTAAGAGTTATGGTCAGAAACAGCATTACAATTGATAAACGTTACATTGACCAGCACCTTGCATTCCCATACTATGAATCTGTGACTCATAAGCACCATCTAGTGGATATATGTTGCTTTACGCTGTGCAAGAGCAACAACGGATCAAATGCATGACAAATGCAGATGAGTGTAAAGGAATGTAAATCCAAGGCTTACTCAGTGGAATCACAACCATCTTGAAGGCCTACTTAGGCTCTCTGATGTGTTTGAAATACCCTTCATTATGGCACGATACTTTATGAATCAACACGATATTACTTCCTCTAAATCAAAGGTGTTTTAATACAATGGATTTATTAGAATACAAGTGCAGAAAACGATAGATAAATAAATAGATAAATAGATAGATAACCTAAAATTAATTGGGATGAAGTTCATGGGAGAATAAATTGAATCATTGTAGAATTACTAAGGACGTATGATCCCCTCTCCCTCGGAGAGCATTTTGTCCATAGTTGACATTCCAGAAACACAGACTACACAGTAAAACCCTCTTGTACTCCCACAAACCCCCTTGTTGTACATTTTCTTCATACTATACAAATATTTATACATTATTTAAAACATCTAAAGAATATACAAAATATTATAATAATAATAAAGAGATTGTCCATCGTAAAAATAAAAAAGGTGAGTTAACAGACTTCAGCAGTAAACCAGTTTGTCCTCATTGTGGTGGCTGTCCAGTCCATCTCCCTCCCGCCACTCTCCCTCCAGCTCCCCCAGGATCTCCTGCAGGGACAGGGCCGGGAGCTCTGGCAGGGGGGCATGGTGCGGGGCTTGTCCTGGGTATTCTGCGGTAGATATAGCCATGCTCCAGGAGCCATCCAATCGGGAAACTTGGCCTACCATCGGTGGGGTGTTTTCTTGTCCAACCTCCCAGCAGCCGGAATCCGTGGTGGCTGGGGCCTGGGTCTGGGAAATGGGGCCTCCAAAGGCTTCCTGGGGGTTGCTGTAGAGGGGCTGCTGCTCGGCTGAGCCATGGTAGAGGAAGGCCTTGCTGGAGCCTGAGCTGTAGTTCCTCACCTCCAGAGGAGAGGGGCTCCACATGGACTGCACTGGGGTTGTCTGGTCACCCGCCTGGGGCCAGGCTCCTGGAACCATCTGGTGCCCGGGGGTCTTCAGGGGCGGGCTGGAGCTGTATCCCAGCACCCTGGCCTGCCTCAGCCCGAACAGGGAGTTGTAGTGGCCAGTCTCCTCTGCTCCAGGGTAGGGTGGAGGGTAGCGTCCATAGAAAAGATCCTCCTCCACCTCCTCCTTCACCTGGACAGGGTAAGCAGGGGGCAGGCAGGGGGAGGTGGACAGAGGGGCCAGGCTGTGCTGGGTAGCCCCTGTCCCCATAGTGCGGGGCTGGGAAACTGGGTTCTGGACAGGGGTGAACCCACCAGGGGAGTGTAAGCCAGAGTCTGACTGGCACAGGGACTTCTTAGCTGCCTTACACTTCAGAGTCCGAGCCCTCCTGTTCTGGAACCACACCTGGAGAGCGATTACAAAACAACTGTGTTATAACACTGCATTTAGAATGGACATCCAATGCAAACAGATACAGTGTCGCAGTTAGTTGACTCCAATGACTAAGATAGAATTATCTGCTTTGAGCCCATGTTAATAATTTCCCAAGCCCACCCACAAACACCTGTAGAATATAGTGAGAGCGTTGGGGCTTATCTTGCTGTTGTCTCCTCTGTTTACTATAAGTGTTGTACATTCTACCAGTCAGACCAAACAAACAGATAAAACCGCTTACATCATCTTAGTGATTTAAAAGATAAACAGAAACCCTGATACCAGTATCAACAGCACCCATGCAGGCCACATTTGAACACAGAGCCTTCGTAATATAAACAACCCCCATTACATTCGTCTGTGCGTGAGTCTGTGTATGTGTTCCTGCATGCTTACATGTGTGCGTAGTTGCTTACCTGGATGCGAGATTCAGGTAGCCCTGTGTTCTGGGACAGGCTCTCTCTCAGGCTGATGCCAGGATAAGGGTCTGTCTCAAAGGTGACACGGAGCAGCTCCACGTGCTCTTTGGAGAAGCTGGTCCTCTTTCTGCGGTTGGTACTCCGGGACGAGGCTCCGGTGACGGCCACCTGTCTGAGGACATCTGAGGGGAAAACACAGGTTCCAGATCAGACATGAGCCAGAGAGGAGCCCAGGGCAAGACAGGTCGTGGAGGGGGTCTTATCATGTAGTGAGTCTGTCTCCAGGATAGGTTGCTAAGGCAAGAATCTATATGTGGCTCTCTATCACTTTGAAGCATTACAACTGGCAAATAAACCCCATAGGACAAAAACATCTGTAAAGTTCCTTTGATATTTCACCCCCCCCCCCCCAAAAAAAAAATGTCATTCTCCCACCAAAATGACAATAATTATCATCTGTGATTCACCTGGCCTACTCAAAAATACAAATCTGATATCCAGTCTAGATTCTGTGTCAGCCAGTGACCTCTCCTTACCGATGCTGGTGTCCTTCCACATAGCGCTGTTTGGTATCTAAGATGTGTAGGAATCTGTAGGTGTTCTGTGTGTAGGTATAGATGCTCCTTCACTAAGGCTCTCAAGAGCTATGTCTCCCAAATGTATTGACCGCCCTTTTATATTGATCGCAAGACTCTGGACCCAACCAGTATCCCCTCCTCAAAGAAGTGCTGATGATGTAGAGTGATATTTTTGGTGACAGTTTGGAGGGGGTATGTTTGTGTTGGCACGGGGGTTGTCTTAGAGGTACTGAGGTTAAGTTAATCTGAATGGTCTTTGGACTAACTAATGGCCCTCTCCCATCCACCCCATCGACATCATCCTCATCACATGCAAGGTCATTGGCACACAAGAAGCAGACATAAAATACATTACTAAATAAAATAATTATGACTAGCTGGAAATTGGTGCTGTATAACTGTAATAAATGCTTACTTATTTGTGTATAGCAAATGTGTAGTTTATTTATTGCATTGTGTAAACAAAAACGATTAAAACTGCTTACTTTTTTTGTAGTTGCAAATGCATGGTTTGTTTGCATTAATTAACCTTTGTTTATTACAGCAATTTCATAACTTGTGTTTTGTTGTGTATTCATCTGTCAGTGGTTTGTGTGCAGTGTGAAGTGAACTTATGTGAGCTTAATTATACTTTTTTAGCACTACCACAAATCCAAATGTAAACAGGAATAGATAGATGTGCAAGTATATCCATTATTAAACTTAATACATTATAGAAGGGCTTATAAAAAACAAGACAACAATTTGGATTATTTCAACACATATTGAAAATGATTAAGGGTGGGCGCTGAAAGTCATTCTCTAATGGCTGCGTCAACAAGCACAATGAAGTATTTTAATCAACCAAACAATTGGCTTGAAGAAATATTAACTCACATGCCTTCTTAGTGAAATGCAAAATGCCATTCATGAATATAACCCTTTTCACAACTGCTGATTTCTATTGAAATGCAACACAGATACAAGCTATAAAAATAAGAAAAACAAGGACGTCTAATTGTTTGGTGATTAATAGGACCATTATCAACATGCTGCCTCACCTTCCATTGATGTATAGGCCCAATTACAGTGAAAGGCCAGGGGTTGTACCAACTAATAGTGGGTACCAAGCTCATCACTGAGTTGTACTTGTCCAGACATGCTGGTTTCTTCATGGCCTATGGGAAAGACTGAGCCAGAGGACAGTGAACTTTCACCTCAATGACACTCCTCGCCCCTGATAGAACTGTAAGTCGCTCTGGATAAGAGCATCTACTAAATGACAAAAAAAAAAAAATTGAAATGTAGGGACACCACACACAGGTAGTTAAACACACAAGTAGTTATTCTGTAAATAGTACAATATACTGTAATATATCTTACTATATTATCTCTTACTGGTATTACTATTAATATATAGTAATAATACTAAATAACATATAATAAAATGCAATAACAACGCTGTTATCTCTACTTTTAATATCAGCCGGTTAGTCATTCCTTGTCTTTTTATTCCTTATCTGGACTATGAGGATCAGTGTCTCCATGTTTTGGGACGGCTCCCGAGAGTCCCACCCTTTCAGGGGCCAGTGGACCTGACAGCAATTCATTCTGGGGGTTATCCAAATCCTATCAGACATTATGCGTGGCCCTTTGGTCCTTCAAGCCTCTTGCAAAATCAGCATTGTCCTCCTCAATACATACATAGCCTATAACATTTGCATTTGCACACTTCAGAATGTGTCATATGTTGGCTCCTCACATACTGTTTCATCACTGCTTCAAATAAAAGCTATATTACAAAATAAACACGTTCAACTCATAGCACATACAAATACATTGTCTCTATTTCACAATGGCCTCATGTAGTCTATTCTTTGAGTCCATGAACTGTTTTTGTCAGGATTTAAATACTTCTGACACACAGTTTTACATGCAATGATCAGTGAGTAAATACGTAATGATAACTAGTTTTACCAATTCCCATTTGACTAATGGTGAAATTACCATAAAATGATTGATTCGTTATTGTCATGCAGATAGAGATATCTGTGAAGATCAGATTGTAAATACCTTAGGTCCCATGACCAGTTTACTGTAGAATCATTAGCTTAGATCTAGGCTACATCCATTAACAACTTGGATGGTTAATGTCCCACTGAGCTTTAATCCTATAATTTTGAATAGAATAAACGTAAATCATTGGCAAATAAATAAATATATAGCCTATATATTATTACACATACAATGCATGCACTTTTTTATTTTTCTGTTTATTTCAGTCAAGGCTATTCCTATTTCAAAACAAAATAACACTTGTCTCAAATCAATATTGAACCTTGGATGATATCATATGACTGATAAAGAAAGATTTACATAATCCCACTCTAACCCCATTCAGAGACAGCGGTCTCGGTACACAAGCGTTCCACTGTTATTGTTGCACGTGCTGATTTGAGAGAGGGACAAATTGAACGCCACCATGGCAAAAAGCGATGGGTACGATTATTTTAGAAGAGCCAGTATTTTTTGGATAACTACAGTGGCGCTTTCGATGGGATACTTCACAGTAAGTCAAAGCCACAAAACGTGGATGGTTTTGACGCAATACCACCGCAATTATAAAGCAAATTGTTAAATTGACTCTGTGCCACCGTGACCGTGCCGTAAACAGCCGTAAACAAAGCCAAGGTGTCACTACGAATGGACTCCGGATGGATCTCTATTTTACTCGGCCAAATTTGTGTTTTATTGAGGCATTTGTTTTTGTAGTTTATTATTCAATTCCCGTGAAGTCCATCGCGAAGTAGTACAGTATTTAGCTTATGAGGTTAGCCTAGATGTTGCGCTTGCAATGAAAGTGTATCCAGGTCATCAACCCTGCGAGTTAAATATTAATTATCCCTGCTGTAAGATCCCTGCAAATGTAATTAATTGGAATATTTGTACTTAAGTTAAACATTTCATATTGTATAGTTGCCGTTGTAATTACCGATTTATAAGCTATCTATTATTGCAGTTACTAGTGGGGAGTGGCTGAATGGAGCTGCGCTGCGGAATGGAAAGGATCGAAAGAATTCCATGATATTGTAGAAAGCCATTGACATTTCTCTAACTAGGCCTATTTATCAGCCATAGATAGCCCTATAGATAACGCAGTATGTTGTTCAAAATCGGTTTTTGGAACGTGGGGAAAGTGAGTTTAACCTAACGTAGCAGGCGTAAAAATATAATTTGGGTGAAATATGTCTCTTAGTTCTAGTCTGGCTAAATACTATCCCCCCATTGACACTTAATTTCCCCACCACATCTAGCTTATGCGTTGCCTTCCTCAGTCATGTAAGTCAGAGGTCATACTAATGTCAGGATGTGTGTGCAAACAAGGGAACCCCAGTGACAACTGCTTGCTAGCACTGTCAGCTCTTGGGTAGAGAAGCAAAATGAGTTTGGCTATATCTTAACAATGATAAGCCAAAAGTGGAGGGTTAGTGCACAATGGCCTCTGCACAAGCTGGAGGCCCTCTGGAATGAATAGGGCTGAATAGTATTTTTGTTAAGCATGTTGCAACCTGTCAGAGGTGTACATAATATACAAAACCCAATGTTACAATGACCATGTGATCATATTAGATAATGACTTGGATGTGTGGCACATGTGGGATATGTGTACACAATTAATGTTGTCAAAAGTTGGTGGAAGCAATTCATGTGTATGGGGCACTGTTTATGAACTGACTGTCTGACCGCATCTCTGTTCTGTGTTTCAGTGGACGGTGTTCTGGCCACAGCAGGTCCCCTATGACAACCTGGGTCCGCTTGGTACCCTGTCCAGATACCTGGTGGACAATCACCATTCTCTCATGTACAAAGGGTAAGTTAGTGTTCCTCCATGATAATGTTTACAAGATTCTGTCATCAAGTAGTATTGGGAAAAATGTTGGCCAAACAGCTTTATAGTCAGAATGAGGATAGTCAATGTGAAATTGAAAGAAATGCTGACTGAAACTGCAGTTACAATGTACAGCACATGCAGCTTCTACAGTTGTAGGCCTAACTCTGTAATAACCAATCATTTTAGATGCAAATTAACAAGGAATAATTACTGCGCTGGGTGGGTTTGCCAGCACACCAGATCACTGTGAATTAGATTTCTAATGATGTGCCAAGTACCCACAGAATACAGAGGCTTGGTCAGTCTGCATAATCAACTGTAGGCCTCCTGTAGCTCAGTTGGTAGAGCATGGCGGTTGCAACGCCAGGGTTATGAGTTCGATTCCCACTCACTAACTGTAAGTCGCTCTGGATAAGAGCGTCTCCTAAAATGTAAAACGTGTCCCACTCCCTTTCAACATTTTTACACTCTTATCAAAACATTTTCAAACAGTGTAACACTTCCACTCATCAATCACATACATGACCACTTATGAAATATCAAAGAAACACTCACACATTTTATATCCGTACAAGACCAATGTGTTTTCTGTTTTTGAATCTCTAATCATTTGCTGTGGTGTGGGACCATGTCACGATCGTCATAATGAGTGGACCAAGGCGCAGCGTGATATGCGTACATCTTCTTTAATAGTGTACTTTTCCAACACGATACAATAACAAAACAACAAACGATACGTGACAGAAGATCCCACCAATACAGGACCAAGCAGCGTGTCCAGGAGCAAATGCCGGAGGTAACGTTAGTGGATGTCCTCCTCGGTTGGGGGCAGATCACGGAGGAGGAGGCCGTCCGTTACCGGAGGGCGATGAAGGGGGAGACCCAGGCAGGAGAGGAGAAGCGGCGCCAACCGGGCCGTCGTTGGACAGGCGAGAGGCACCCCCAATACATTTTTTGGGGGGGCACACGGCATGGACGACGGGGCTGCTGGAGGCAGATAAAGGGCGAGTTTGTGGACGAGGAGAGAAGGCCACCAGGTTACGGGGGCCATTGGTCAGTAGAGGGAAGGAGAGTGTAGAGGCACGGCGAGAGGTACTGAGGTGTGTTACCAGTCCGGTCCGGCCCCGTTCCTGATCCCCACACAAGGCCAGTGGTGTGTGTTCCCAGTACGGTCCGGCCTGTTCCTGTCCCTTCGCACCAAGCCTGTGATGCGCGTCGCCGGCCCGGCCTGTTCCTGCCCCTCGCACCAAGCCTGTGGTGCGCGTCGCTAGCCCGGCCCGGCCTGTTCCTGCCCCTCGCACCAAGCCAGTGGTGCGCTTCGTCAGCCCGGTCCGTCCCTGCTCCCCGCACCAAGCCAATGGTGCGCGTCGCCAGCCCGGCCCGGCCTGTTCCTGCTCCCCGCACCAAGCCTGTGGTGCGCGTCGTCAGTCCGGCACAGCCCGTGCCTGTTTCACCGGTGCCTGGTCAGGTACCGGTCAGCTGCTCCACACCGGAGCCTAAGCAATCCGCTCCACCGATGTCCAGTCCAGCTCCAGCCAGCGGGACCAGACCAGGGGCGCTACGGGGGGGTTGTTAGAGGGTGGTGGTCACGCCCGGAGCCGGATCCGCCTCCGAGGAGGAATGCCCACCCGGCCCCTCCCCTGTTGGGTTTATGTTGGCGCGGTCGCAGTGCGCCTTTGGAGTGGGGGTACTGTCACGCCCTTGCTCTGGGGACTCTTGTATGTTGAGCCAGGGTTTAGTTTATTTGTGTAGTGTCTATGTTTCGTTTTCTATGTTCTGTTCTAGGTTATGTGTTTCTATGTTGGCCGGGGTGGTTCTCAATCAGAGGCAACGAGAATCAGCTGTTGCTTGTTGTCTCTGATTGGGAACCATACTTAGGCAGCCTGTTGTGCACTTGTGTTTCGTGGGATCTTGTTCCGTGTAGGTTTGTGTTTGTTAACCGAGGACTTCACGTATCGTTTTGTTGTTTTCGTATTGTCATTTGAGTACTCATTAAAAGATGTACGCATTTGGTCCGTTGCTTACGACGATCGTGACAGACCATTACACTGTAGCTAGAGGAAATCATTGGTCACTTGCCAGAAATAATGTAAGAATGTTTTTTAAAGAAAGCTGTTAGAGATAGACTAGAAACATCCTCATTCTGAATGTTGGGTGTTGCTCTGTGTTTCAGATGGTGGGCAGCTTGGGTCGTCCACGTGGCAGAAGCCCTTGTTGCCATGAAGGTCTGCAGGTAAGATGGATGTTCATATATCCATGTCTCCTCTAGGGGGTGCTATTGTTCTGCTTTCTATCAGGCTCCCTCTAGAGACATGCTATCACACCTACTTTTAACCCCCTGTATGTCTAAGCCCTTAGATCGCAATATCTATTAAGCTATATGGAATTGTTTTGAGATGGCCATTTTAATTTAGAATTTTAGGACCCTTGTAGGTATAAAAAAAATATTTGATAAAACATTGAATTTGGCCTTTACTGCTATAGCCCATAGAAACACATTGAATAACACATTAATAAATGGCAAAACCAAAAGTAAAAAAATTAATCATTTTAATTTAATTTTGACCCATGTTTGGTCACGTTTTGTTTGGCACATTTTACCCCCTACTACAATTTGTACTGCCCGGTACTGGGTTAACCTTCAGACGACTCCCCTGAAGCTTGTGTGTGTCATAGAGCAGAACATCCGACACCTTCGTCTTTGTGAGAGTCTCCGCTATCGATATTGGTGACATATTAGTTTGTAGTCGGTTTTGTGAAAAGACCTCTTCGAAATGAGGACGTCCGCGACAGAGTTCAGATGACTACCGTAAAGCTTGTGGATGTCGTAGAGCCAAACAACCGACACTGTCGTGTTCGTGAAAGTCAACCCTGCTTTGGCATATTAGTTTGTAGCTCACAGATGATTTCGTGACAATTTTCTTGTCCGGATCCTCTCATGTGTAGAAAAAGTCCGCTTTCACAAGCCCCATGTTATGGAATAGTCGGAAACCTCATATAGGCGGAAAGAGGGGATTGAGCTGCAGCCATTACAAGAAACGGTGTCTCTAGCATAAACACACATGGAGCTAATCGACTCAAGGGGGTTTAAGCCTACGTGTTAACTCATGTTGCCCAAAGGTCAAAGATAATTGAAGAAGTGGGAGTCATAGAGATACTGTTGACTGTACAGAATACAATAGTTTTATTGTGATTATTCTAGTGCACCATCCCTCATCATGTTTTGTTTTGGCCAGAAGGGGGCATCGTATAACTGCATGTCTAGTTACATTTAAGATCTTACTATGCTCAGCCTTCTGTCTCCTCTATTTATATTTGCCAATTTGGACTCTACTCAATACCTTAAGGGCCATTGTGTTGTAGTCACTGACACTGAACCTGAGACTAAACTGCTGCCTGTCTGTGTGTGTGTGTGTGTGTGTGTGTGTGTGTGTGTGTGTGTCACTCTCTTCACAGTAACAAAGGGGTGGACGGCACAATGACACGTTGCCTCTGGTTTGTCCAGACGGTGCTGTTTGGCTTTGCCTCTCTCGGCCTGCTACTCAAATACAAACCTGACCACAGGACCAAACAACACTGATGCCACAAGGAAGACCCTGCTGCAGAACAGAGTCTATAGTCTTTATAGACCACACCACCACTTCCTCTGAAAATAATGAGTGGCCATGGCATGCTGTGAACTTTTATCTGCAAACAGTTTTATCTGTTAGGGAACAAGATAGTTATTTGTGATTCCAGATTGTTTACAGTGCTCCGAGAGGACCATAGATACAATAACTTACAACATTGTGATTGTTAATTCTAAGGACCTATAGACCTTCTGATCGAACAGTAGAAACATTCAAGCCGTCAAAGCTCTTCATCTGACAATACATAGCTATTGTGAAGCTTCCCACCACACACCCAACATTCCTCCAAAAATAAATGCTATTTTTTTATCCAGAGCATATTTTAGGACAGAATGCAATGCACTGTTTACACAGAGATTATCACAAGGTTCAAAATGACAAAATATTTTCTGTTTTATATCATGATGGAAAAGTACCAAGTTTTCCTACAGAATTTTTTCAAATCATACTAGAGCATTTTCCAATTTTAAGTTCAGATCACCCGTTTTAATCACTCTTTACATTGCTCTATCTTGTTTTAATGAAAAAGGACTACAGATGTTTCATACAGATGTTTCTTAACTTTCCTTAGATTACATTAGATTAGATTAATCCATTTGCCTTTAAGCATGAACATGCTGGGAATTTATTCACAAATTAATATAGATAAGGGATAAGATGAGAGACGAAGAGTGAAGTTGCCTAATTTATAGCGTGACAAATAAAGAGTGATTGATGAACAAACTTGGCTGTTTAAATCTACTTTGTTTTTGTCCACCTCTGTCTATCATACTGTCTACAGCTTGTGTGCTTGGACAGCCGTGATGAGGACATAACGTCATGGCGTACTGTCCCACAGAATCTCTTGTACAGGGCCCGGTTTCCCAAAAACATCTTAAGGCTAAGTTCATCTGATTAACTTAGCCTTAAGATGTTTTTGGGAAACCGGGCCCAGATGTAGATTGTTAAAGTACAAAGAGCTTCACCACTCCTAAGTGATTCCATATATTGAAACGAGTTCAGTGGAGTTTGTCCTCTCCCTCGCTGTAGTGCTGTCCAAATGAGCTATTTTTGTCAAAGGTACTATCGGTTTTGAGTCGGGAAGTGTGTACTTTTCCAACGAAAACATTTGAGATTATTTTATATGATTATTATATGTAGCCGGCTGCCACAGCAGCGGAGATGGGTAACAACTGCGCATGTGTGCCCTCGTGGGGGAGACCCTGCTATGTTTTAAGTGGGAAAGTACACATTTCCTGACTCAAAACCGATAGACAAAAATAGCTCCTTCGGACAGGCGCTTTCAATAAAACAACTAATTTGCCCACACATCATGAATTCACTGACATCGGAGCAGAGCGAGGCCTGCATCCAGCAACGTAAACCCATTTTTGCAGCTGTTTCAGTACAGCACTACAGGGAGAGCGAGGGGGAGAGGGCAAACTCCACTGAACCAGTTTCAATGTATGGCATCACTTGGGAGTTCTGGATTTTGGGTAAACGTATCCTTTAATAAAAGGTCAATTATCTTATATGGCATATGCCCTATATCCTTGGGCCAATATAGACACTATACAAAGTTAAATACATTTTAGTAGGTCAGCTATATTTCCTTATATGACAAGGTCATATAGTTATGATAGTGGAGAACAAATATATTAATTGATTTAACACAGGAAGTGGTAACACTTTACTTGACACCCAGTGTCATAACACGTTATGACATGGTCATAATCATGTCATAACATTTACATTTTAGTCATTTAGCAGACGCTCTTATCCAGAGCGACTTACAGGAGCAATTAGGGTTAAGTGCCTTGCTTAAGGGCACATCGACATCTCGTCTCTCCTCTGGCACTGTCTCCAATCATTAATCAATGAGATGTCAGCTAATATCTACTCCGTGCTTCTACACCTGCATTACTAGCTGTTTGGGGTTTTAGGCTGGGTTTCTGTACAGCACTTCGAGATATTAGCTGATGTAAGAAGGGCTATATAAAATAAAATTGATTGATTGATCGACAGATTTTTCACCTAGTCGGCTCGGGGATTAGAACCAGCGACCTTTCGGTTACTGGCACAACGCTCTTACCCACTAAGCTACCTGCCGCCGTAACATGTCATAACAGCTGACATAACTTGTCATAACCCATATATTTACACCTGTTGTGACATATATTGCTTTATTTTATGGCTGGTTATGACACCTACATAAGAGTGTCAAAACCCACATTTATTCCATTTTTTTTTTCCTGCCAAGAAGTTTCCTTTCGTTTGAAAGTTTGTTTCTTAAATCCTTTGTTGTTGTAATGAATTCTTTACAGTCATGTTTTTTTCATCATATTTTAAATAACTTGTAGAAAATACACTTTATGACACTGTCAAGAAGCATTATGACCATACTTTGTCGCTTTACTTGGACTAAGAAAATACACTTTATTACACTGTCAAGAAGCATTATGACCATCATAATCATATAAGCCAGATATGCCTATCACATACATGCCCTTATGTCAGTCAAAAAGAGGGTGTCTTGTCCTGCTCCTGAAATCTTCTCCTGCATTCGTCCCAGTCATCAGCAACAGAGCATTGGGGTAGGTGCATGTCTGACATCAATGTGTGCGCAATTACAATGATATATTAATAGGGTAAATTTAGAAAAAGGTTATATAACGTAAACATACTGTTGACACGTAGGCTATGGTGTAATGGAATGTTTTGCCTTGTGTGGTAGGTTTTGTGGGTTTTGACACTCTTATGTAGGTGTCATAACCAGCCATAAAATAACATAATATATGTCACAACAGGTCAAAATATATGTGCCATATTATAGCAGGTTATGACAAGTTATGTCAGCTGTTATGACATATTATGACATGGTTATGACCGTGTCATTTAAGTGATAATGCCCAAGAAGCCGGTCTTTGGAGGATATATTGGGTGCGTTCGTAAATTCACTCTGGCTATCTACTCCGATTTCAGAGCACTCTCGTCTGAGTGTGCCAGAGCGCAGAATAACTGATGAATTTACGAACACACCCATTGACACAGGTGTTGTTAAGCCCGAGACAAAGTCGAGGTCCGGCAAACCGTGCCAATATATCCTCTAAACATTGGCTTCGAGGGCATTATCACTTTTATACAACGGGTTACCAACATATTCAAATATTGATTGACATATTTTCATTAAAAACGTTATTTTTATGCATTTATTCATACTATTTCATCCTTCCACAAGATATTGTCCCGACACAAATCTAGGATTGCTACCCAAGCCGGCTGGTCGTTCGTTCTATCGGTTCGGTTGCTAGAGACGCGACCCAGTCGTTAAGTCTTTTTGTTCTGTATCTATGGATGCAACCCAGTCATTTGTTCGAACTGTTCCATTGCCATAATGGCTGTCATTCTTATCCCTTGCTTGCTAGCTAGACAACTATGGCTAATTTACAGTCATGTCAAAAAGTCCAGCCAGATTAACAGCAAAATAGCTGCATTTGCATTTGTTCAAGCGGTTTTCTAGTGGCATTTATTTGGATACATCCATAACAATGAGCTAATGAGGCGCGATTTCGCCTGGCATAGAAAATGTGCTCACTCGCCAGGACACTGTTGTTCAGAGGAGCTAGCCAACAACACAGCTAACACAATCACTTCAAACTGAAGCTAGAAAGACTGAAAACTAGCTGCACTTCGTTTCGTTTGACCTTTTTTTTTATTGGCATTTCTTTCTTCTATATATCCATAAAAAGGATGCCAGCTGATTCATGATTTCAACTGGCTGAGAAACGCTGCCTGCCTGCCAGTCTCTCTTACAGTTTCTGTGGCTGTGTCACAGGATTTATTGCCATTACAGGAGCGTAATTAATAATCTGTCAGTAGCTATCCATTTGATTACTTTGATTAACACAGAGCCTACACTCAAACATCTCCTCCTGCTAATATCTCCCCAGGTACTGTCATTATGTTTATTGAATCATTGTTGCTCCTGTCGAGTCTCTTTCAAATGCTTTGGCTTGCCTAGGGTCTGGTTTCCGAGACTAGCTCCAGCTATTAAAGCTATCACTGTCTTCATTTTGATACAACTGGTCATCTTTCAGATGATAAACTGGAGAAGCTTGCGGGGGCAGGTCATAGGCACCTAATCTTGGGGGACATTTGTAATATTTCAGTATCAATATCTGACTCGGTTCGGAGTTGATGACGTGTTTCTCGGTCTTAGGCACTGTATAGGACATCGGGAGGTTTAGATTGCTTCAATGATATACAGTGGGCAGTTTCTTAGTACTGACCAGGCCAAAGAAGCACAGCGGGGTCAGAATGTCCTCTGCTAACAAACTTAGGGAATTAATCCATCTAAATCATCTCGTCTCTCCTCTGGCACTGTCTCCAATCATTAATCAATGAGATGTCATCTTCTGAACCATGAGGTAACTTTTATTTCAAGGCATTGCACACTAACTATTCCCTCTCTCTCTAGTTCTCTCTCTCTCTCTTTCTCATCCTCTCTCTCTCAGCAAGGAGTGGGCGTTAAAGGATCATGTATGATTCTATACAATAGGCCCACTTTATTTAGTTTAGATTGATGGGTAGGTATCAGATGCTCTAACACAGCTATGAACAACATACGCTGTGCAGTTGATCCCATTGGCTGACCTTAACTGATCCTATCTCATCTGAACTGGACATACAAATTATCGTTGAATACATTATCATCAACTTTTATTTCCAGAACACATTGGTTTTAATTGTCACTACAACTGTTATGTTATAAATATAGAAATATGTACAACAATTCAATTCCCAGGCACAGATTAAGCCTAGTTCTGGACTAGAAAGTATGCTCAATACAGAATCTCCATTGAAATAGATTTTTAGTCCAGGACTAGCTGGGCTTAATCTTTGTCTGGGAAACTGGCCCAAAAGTACCCCCTGAGCTCCCTAATAACAGAAGTGTTGGGTGAAAGTATTGTTTTCTCATCAGAGCAGCATATGCAGTAAATGCCATATATTCCCGTATTTAAGTTTATCTCCCTGTATAATCTCTACTAATCAAAAGGCTTTATTATACTCACTGATATTCAAAAGCAATTGCAATTCTGTAGTTTTGCAGCAAAGAGTTCATGTGTTATGTGTTAGTTCGCATATATATTCACAATGTTTCTGTTTCATTGTATGTTTAATTGTGTGTGTGTCTGCGAGTGACGTGCATGTGTGTACGTGTGTGCATGCTTTGTCCGTGTGTGTGTGTGTTCAGAGTGAGAGCCGTGACAAGTGTTGATCACCGGTCCAGCCAGCGTAGTGTGGGGTAGCGCTCAGACAGTGTCCTGCGGAGCTGAGTGCTCTGTGTCTTATCTCTGGTCTCCACCACACACTCCACCTGTGGGCACACAACACAGATTTAATCCTAATCATCTCTCACTGCCACACACACACACACACACACACACACACACACACACACACACACACAGTCTGTGAAATGTAAATAAACACTGGAGTGTCTAAGATAATAATACATTGACCCACTCACACACATTTAGAATATACCATTGCTATGCGGTTGTAGCATGACGCAACACGCTCCCAACACACTCAATGCATCTGAAGTCCCCATCGATTCCAGTTTGTCTAATTTCTATGACTAGATTAACCCGCTACATGGTAGTAACATAATATTCTACCTTCACATAACATACCTGTACATAACTTATTTTACAGCTGCCAACTTTACAGTCAGTTGACGTCACACATCTAGAACTTCTAAATCATGCTTGCCATTAGTAGGCAACGCCTCAATCAGAGTCATAAACCACTTCCAAATCAATCACATATTGACACTGTCTAGCAGCACTGGACCCAGAATCCGCCACTCATCTCACACTACCCTGCACTGCCAACACAGCGGCAACCGAGCTAGGGTTTCCATGGCAACGGCAGTGTGAGAAGCAGCTGAGTGGATTTCGGGGGAAGAGGGGAGGGAGGTTGGAATTGGGCTAAGGCTGTTGTACCTGGGCCTTGAAGAGATCGCCTCTGTCATCGTGTCTACGGTGGCAAACATCTAACAACCTGATGGAGAGAGAGAGAGAGAGAGAGAGAGGGAGAGAGAGGAGAGAGGAGAGAGAGAGAGAGAGAGAGAGAGAGAGAGAGAGAGGAGAGAGAGAGAGAGAGAGAGAGAGAGAGAGAGAGAGAGGAGAGAGAGAGAGAGAGAGAGAGAGAGAGAGAGAGAGAGAGAGAGAGAGAGAGAGAGAGAGAGAGAAAGAAGATGAAAAGAAGCATTACTGATAGGTGACAGATGTAGACATACAGAACGAGAGAAAGAAAAAGTGGATGAGGAGAAAGCGAGGAGTAAATTAAATTAAACTAAATTCACATTGTTCTTCGTATCAGAGGATTTGTCTGTCCAGACTGATCATCCTGCCAGGTAAAGCCTCCTCCTGTCCTGTAGCTTATTCTGATGTGATCGGATGTGTGGAAGAACAGGGTCACAGGGCCAGATTGGGCACAGTGGCATTACTGTCACTGAGAGAGAGTGAGTGATCTAACTATACGCACCATTATCTAACTAGACACACTTATCGCCATCCATATGTAGCACAGATATCAGGACTGAGGTGATTAATAAGCTCTGGCAGTACTGGGTTATGGTCAGTCTGTCTGACCACACACTCTGACATGTGTGTAACATGTGTGTGTGTGTATTTCAGAGAAATAGGGAGTAATCAACCTCTTATACAGGTCGCAGTTGTAAATGAGAACTTGTTCTCAACTGGCTTACCTGGTTAAATAAAGGTGAAATAAAATAAAATAAAAATAAATACACTACTGTATCTACAGTGCATTCGGAAAGTATTCAGACCCCTTGACTTTTTCCACATTTTGTTACGTTACAGCCTTATTATAAAATGGATAAGAAATATTTTAAAAAACTCAGCAATCTACACACAATACCCCATAATGACAAAGCGAAAACAGGTTTTTAGAAAATTTTGCACATATAAAAAACAGAAATACCTTATTTACATAAGTATTCAGACTCGAAATTGAGCTCAGGTGCATCCTGTTTCCATTGAGCATCATTGAGATGTTTCTACAACTTCATTGGAGTCCACCTGTGGTAAATTCAATTGATTGGACATGATTTGGAAAGGCACACACCTGTCTATATAAGGTCCCACAGTTGACAGTGCATGTCAGAGCAATAACCAAGCCATGAGGTCGAAGGAATTGTCCGTAGAGCTCCGAGACAGGATTATGTCGAGGCACAGATCTGGGGAAGGGTAGCAAAACATTTCTGCAGCATTGAAGGTCCCAAGAACACTGTTGCCTCCATCATTCTTAAATGGAAGACGTTTGGAACCACCAAGACTCTTCCTAGAGCTGGCTGCCCGGCCAAACTGAGCAATCGGGGGAGAATGGCCTTGGTCAGGGAGGTGACCAAGAACCCGATGGTCACTCTGACAGAGCTCTAGAGTTCCTCTGTGGAGATGGGAGAACCTTCCAGAAGGACAACCATCTTTGCAGCACTCCACCAATCAGGCCTTTATGGTAGAGTGGCCAGACGGAAGCCACTCCTCAGTAAAAGGCACATGACAGCTCGCTTGGAGTTTGCCAAAAGGCACCTAAAGACTCTCAGACCATGAGAAACAAGATTCTCTGGTCTGATGAAACCAAAATTCAACACTTTGGCCTGAATGCCAAGCGTCACGTCTGGAGGAAACCTGGCACCATCCCTACGGTGAAGCATGGTGGTTGCAGCATCATGCTGTGGTGGTGCTTTTCAGCGGTAGGGACTGGGAGACTAGTCAGGATCGGGCAAAGATGGACGGAGCAAAGTACAGAGAGATCATTAATGAAAACCTACTCCAGAGCGTTCAGGACCTCAGACTGGGGTGAAGGTTCACCTTCCAACAGGACAACGACCCTAAGCACACATCCAAGACAACTCAGGAGTGGCTTCGGGACAAGTCTCTGAATATCCTTGAGTGGCCCAGCCAGAGCCCGGACTTGAACCCGATCTAATATCTCTGGAGAGACCTGAAAATAGCTGTGCAGCAACGCTCCCCATCCAACCTGACAGAGCTTGAGAGGATCTGCAGAGAAGAATGGGAGAAACTCCACAAACATAGGTGTACCAAGCTTGTAGCGTCATACCCAAGAAGACTCGAGGCTGTAATTGCTGCCAAAGGTGCTTCAACAAAGTACTGAGTAAAGGGTCTGAATACTTATGTTAATGTGATGTTTCTGGGTTTTTTTAAAAAATAAATTAGCAAACATTTCTAAAAACCTGTTTTTGCTTTGTCATTATGGGGTATTGTGTGTAGATTGATGAGGGAAAAATAATAATTTAATCAATTTTAGAATAAGGCTGAACGTAACAAAATGTGGAAAAAGTCAAGGGGTCTGAATACTTTCCGAAGGTACTGTATATTCAGATGTACAGTGTAGTTCATAACTATCTGTTCTCATGTTAGTGTTTAACTCACTTGATGTCCTCTCGGGCCAGGATGTCCAGTAGCTTGGCCATGTCCCCCGGAAAGTCTCCCAACTGCACCGTAAACTTGTTGACCCGGTCGTCCAGAAACAGGGCTCGGTCAACACATTGTCTGATCAGGTCCAACTCCATGTTAGCACTGCTGACCACCACAGCTACCCTGCAGCGGGCAGACAAGGACATAGATGGAGACTCAATTCATCTGAATATCAACAGGTTAAATTTTTGACACTATGGGGTGAATCCTAATTTCCTTATGTCAAATTTTCATTTAGTCATGCATTGTTGTCAATGGGAGGCTAAGTGTTAGGATTCACTCCTATGTTTTGATACAGTAACACACCCTGGCCGAGCATTAACCCACCTTTTGCCCTTCAGCTCTGGTAGTTGCCCAGCCAAGATGGCCGCCAGTCCCATGGCTCCCTCTGTGTCCACCGTGGAGCGTTCAAACTCCTGGAACCTTAGCATGGCTACCAGAGAGTCCTCCTCTCTGTTGAGAAGAGTAAGAGGTCAGGGATACTCAGAGAGAAAGAACAACAACAACACCACCACAACAACAACGACAACAACAGCAGTACTAAAGGACAATGATCGAGACACTTTACTGCACTCTGGGCTCTAATTTGTGGCCATCTTGCTACCATATGCTCCTAAATAGTTAAGTTGTTACATTTGTATCATATTGCGGTGAGCAAAGTCAATATATTGTATAATTTCCCCTCACCTGTGAGAGTGAAGAGGGAATTCAGCAACTTTTAAAAGTGCTTCTTTATTACAAAAAGTTAAACCTACATTGACCCTTAGATTTGATCAAGGTTTTATATATTTCAAAATGGCCGCCTATTGGTCAGATTATTGCAACTAATCACGTCATGTTTTGTGTTGTATTCCCATTGTGATTGGTCCCTGAACCCATAGGAGAACATTTAGCAATATACAAAAGCCTCCTTCTTTTCTATCTGTAAAAGGCTAAGGCAGAGACGCATTTTTGCTTTTAACACTCCATTTGCTCCTCAATTCATGCACCTTGGTAGGAGAGCGAAGTAGCACGGCAGTGTTCACTTCTCTTTGCACCTCACCTGTGACAGCCATGGTTGCACCTTTACAATGCATAAAACCGTTCAAAATGTATGACCAGATAATTATTTTTCCTTTCTATCGCGGATTCGCAGGTCACATTTTATAATTTCAGAAACCATGTTGCGGGCCGCTAACTTGTTTGATAACAAGCAAATGTCCAGTCATGTTACCTAGCTGCCTAACAACCTGTTAACTTGCCCAGTAAGATAGCACTGGAAGAAAGGAAATGGGCTCCTCCAGGAGATGTGGATTCATATGGTCCTAGGGCTCTATTCAATCTGTATCACTGAAGTGAATGCAGTCTCTGCGACTGTGTGGGAACATTGCCTTTAATTGTCAATCACGCTATAAAGCTGAACTTCCGCAATATGGATTTAATAGAGCCCCTGGTGCTCCTAAATACTGCTCCTAAATACTGTTTGGTGCTTCTAACCTTGGGAGCATCAGTGCTACCAATGTAGAACCATGGCAACAATCACGGCACTGGGGAACAGAGGGATGTCTATGTCCATACATGTAGAATACAATGACTATGGCAAATGTGTGGTGAGATAACCTCCTTTCCATAGAGATGTAGTACCTGACAGATATGACTTTATCCACAAATTTCTTAGCCAGCTGGAAGGTGTGGGTCCCCATTGAGTGCTCTAATAGGTCTGGGGATAGAGAGTGGGATATAGGCATTGAGTTCAGTGAGTACAGTGCCATGACAATTGATATCTATTTAAATACAGAGAAAAACCATATCAAATGGGGTAGGTGTGGGTTCAGATAGCCTACAGGGGTACAAGGGCACAGCACCTCCATAAAGCTTCTTGTTGGGGGTGCTGTATAGTTCTCTAGTCACTGGGCTGCCTGTTTTGAGGGACTGTAGTAGCAGCGGGAATCCTTCTGGTTCAACTCCCTGTCAAAGAGAACAATGGTACATGAATCCTGATATTATGCTAAGTGCTATGCTAAGTATGATGGGGATCCACATTTTGGAGAGCTTGTTTGCAACTTACTCACTATGACAATAGTACATTAAACAAATATTCAGAGTTGGAAACACTTACTATGACAGTGATGCGTGAGTTGAGGTGTTTGATGGCAGCTGCTGTGCCAACCAGTAGACTACACTGTCCACCAGCGGGCACAATGACTGCATCTAGTTTGGGCACCTGCTCATAGATCTCCATGCCTACTGTGCCCAGTCCTGCCAAGTACACAGCACTATCATCCCTGAGCGAGAGATAGAGAGAGAAAGAGAGTGAAATACAATATTACCATGTGTCCATGTATTAGTGTCACATTGTCGTCAGTGCATGTTTTAAAACAAAGGAGAGCTATGGGACTGGCGCCCAGGGTGACTTACTCTTCCAGGCAGAGGTATCCGTTCTCCTTGGCCAGGTGGCGGGCGTGGTTCAGGGAGTCCCTGGCCGTGCTGCCGTAGGAGATTACCATGGCGCCGTAGTCACGGTACATCCTAAGGTGGGGCTGGGCACAGCTGGCTGGCATGATGACAAACACTGGGATCCTCAACTGCACTGCATGGTGGGCCACGGCCATGGAGAAGCTACAGTCTGTAGCCACGATCACCCCCTTTTTCTGCTGCTCCTGTGGAGGGGGATAGGAGTTAGCTAACTGTTAAAGTAATTAGCGATTGTTTAGCTTGTTAAATACTTGTTAGCTTGTTAGCTACTTGTTAGCTTGTTAGCTACTTGTTAGCTTGACTTTTCTCCAGCTGGAATGCATTGAGAGATGCATTGTGATGCATACCTGGTTGAGGGAGGTGAGCATGTAGAGAACACCTCTCTCCTTCACTGAGCCCGTGTAGTGGAGGTGTTCCTTCTTTAGGAAGATCTCCATGCCATACTGTTTGGACAGTCTGGAGTACTGGGAACACAAACAAGCAGAATGCGAGTAAGCTTCTGTATATGAAGCAGGGTGCATCATCTAAAGTTATTACTCTTAGACAAAAAGGTACTACCTAGAATAAAGGGTTCTTCAACTATCCCTCAACAAAGAATCCTTTAAGAACCCTTTGGTGAAAAGGGTTATCCTACAGACCAGGGACATCCAAAGAACCCTTTATAGTTCTAGCTAGTACATTTTTTATGAGTGTATAGAAGGCTCTGAACATACCATGCAGGGGGTCTTCTGCATCCCCAACTGGATTTTGAAGGATGCAGCACTGATGTCATCGAAGCAGAGGTACTCAGGCTTGGGTGGTGTGACTACTTTGCTCTCGCTGCCTCTCTTCTTGTTAGTCTTGGGCGGGTCCATCAGCTGGATCTCAGGGGCGCCCACCACCTTGATCTCCTTGGTCTTGACTTCTCCATTGAGGCACTCCTCCTCCTCAATACCAAAGTCCTTCAGGCGCTCTGGGTGGATGAGCGTGGGTCGCAGGCCCGCAACCCCGTTACAGACGGGGGCGTCGTTGTTGCAGGTACTCTTGGAGGAGGTGGAGCATCCCTGTTTTGTTGAGCCAAGACGCTGCTCCTCGCTGGGGGAGAAAGGAAGATCAACAGGGCTTGGAATTACTCCTCTCTGATTGGGTGTCTGTAAAGATGTATACAGCTCTGACCGTTATACACATGTATTTCAGGTCAAAGGTCTCAGCAATGGGCTAGAGTGATGAGAGGGAGCAGGAGAAAAGAATTGCTAATAGGCTGGGTGGAGATTTCAGGAGTAAGGTTTGTACGTGTGTGTGTGAACAAGGGGCGAATAGATTAGCCACTGCTTTACATTGTCTGGGAGTGATGGCAGTAACCTTGTGCTCTGTACAATAGGAGATAATCCACAGAGATCTTCCCATGTCTAGCTAAAACCTAGCTGTCCCTTATGACAACGGAAATAGCTGTAGGTTGTGACATATTAACCACACACACGCACACACACCTATTAACCACACACAGACACCCACCCACCCACACACACACACACACAGACACACACACACACACACACACACACACACACACACACACACACACACACACACACACACACACACACACACACACACACACACACACACACACACCAACATACACACACACACACAGACACACACAGGGCTCTTGGGTTGTTGTCAGTTTGGAGGGTATTGAGGGGAGGGGAATGGTTGGAGTTAATTGAGTCACCTTTCATGTTCTCAGAGTTTCACCTCTGCTTGATTTATTTAATCTCTGATTAAACAATGACTCATTTTAATCATTTCAACGCAGTCTTTTAGGGACATGCAGTAATTAAACATAGCATGTGTTGAATAAAGTAAAATAAGAGAGAAGCTTATTATCAGTGATAGTTTGACTAAATCCTGTAACTCAATAATAACTTGGTACAGTATTTAGTTGGATTGTTATTAAACCTAGTACTATTAATGATAGTAATGACTAGTATTGATAGTATTAAATAATTTAATTCCTTTCTCTTCATGTCAAAACATCTCTGTAATAGTCAATGGGATTGATAATATAGTTAATCGAACCATTGCCTTATTGTGGTTATTAAGATACATAGCTATATTATCAACAATCAGGTCATTCAGAATTAAGGCTCTCTATATAAAGACATACAGGGATTAGATCAGACCTGTTGGACATTAACCTCATTACTATCTCAATGTTAACACTTTACTGGATTCACCTACTAACATTGCCTTATAAACATTCATAGCAACTACATGTAGTATTCACTCAATTGTATTTAAATAACCTAATGCATTCCTATTCAAAAGTCACTCAAAAACATATTATATGCACTGCTGAAATGGATAGACCGTATGGTATAATTCAAACCAGCTGGTAAAATGTAACTTCACTTTAAGTTTCCATTGTGTATACACCACAGGAGGTTGGTGGCATCTTAATTAGGGAGGGCGGGCTCGTGGTAATGGCTGGAGCGGAATGGTATCCAATCCATTCCATTTCCTCCGTTCCAGACATTATTATGACCCGACCTCCCCTCAGCAGCCTCCACTGGTGTACACATGGGCAGAACTTCCAAGAGCTAAGTCACAGCAAAGACCTCAAGATCCAAACAGCACCAGCACATAGAACCAGCAGGTGGAGTTACTCTGTTGGCATTCTATTTCCCCAATATCTAATGTTTTTGGCTCCGTTTCCTGTTTCACAACCAGTCGTTCTATTAATATCGTCTGCTCAGCCATAAGAGCTGCTTTACCCTTTCACCCCATTCCCCAAGTTAACCCTCTGATACTAATGTCCTTCTATACCGTTTGCCTCTTTAATCCTTCACACTTTCTCTCAGTAATACCACCTCTCTCTCTCTCCTTTCTATTGTCTCAGCATGTGTAAGACCCCAAACTTCTCTCTGTCTTTCGCTCCCTCCTTGATCGCTCTATCTCTCTATCTTTATGTCCAGTCTGTTTACCTGGGAAGGAAGAGGAGGATGAAGGATAGAACCAGGCGGAGGAGGAGGCATACCAGAGTGTGGAAGGCTGGCAAGAGGAATCTGTTCCCCGTGTCTGGAGAGGGTATCACAGGGGCAGGGGCACGGCTAGGGGGGGCCTTGGCTACTACTGTGGACCTGGGGAGAGCAGGGGAAGCTTGAGGTGTAGGTGGTGAAGGTGCTGTTTCAGGGGGAGGAGGAGGACAGGGATCGAAGAGGGCTTTAGATTTGGGGACAGGATGTGCTGGATAATGAGGAAGTGGTTTGCTGGTGGCTCTAGAGGACTTCGTAGATACCCTTGCACAAGGAGAAGGAGAAGGAAGATGGTGGAGCGTGGAGGTTGTTGCTGGTGGGGTTAGTTGACCTTGGGGAGAGAGAAGAGGTGCAGAGCAAGGATGAAGGAGAACAGGAAGAGGTGCAACACGAGGTGCAGCAGGAGCCACAGCAGGAGTCACTACAGGAGAAGCAGCAGTGGGAGTATTTGGCTCCTTAGGGTGTTGGGGGGGTACATCTGCAGCCAGGGCTCGGGTGGGGAATTCCTCTGTGTCTAATGGGGTACACTGGGTGGGGAATGAATCTGTAAAGTCCCACCTCTGCCAGAAGGGATCATTCTCATCACTATCGCTGAATCTCACTCTGTTGGGCGATCCATCTCTGACATAGTTGGCGTAGATGAACTGGGCAGCAAAGTTCATCCTGGACCACTTTTTCAGCTATAGTCCCAGGATCCACTCTGGATAAGTCCCGAAAAGTCCTCTCCCTGCTCCTCCTGTGTGGCGCGTCCAGGAGTGTGTGGGACAGTGTGTCGGCTCAGAGCACTCCCAATGTGTTAACTGCGCAGTCCTGGATCCCTTCCTGGGGCTATTTAAGGGGGGATTACCCAGGGGCATATGCCCGCCCGCCGCTTATCCCTCCAGCCCAGCTTGCCTCCAGCCCTGGCCTGGCCCCTCCCTCCCCTTGTCTCTATTCCGGTCCCAGACCTGGAATAAACCTCCAGTTCTGTGACGTGTCGGTAATCAGACGCTCTAAGGGGATAGATACAGACTTACAGTTTATCTAGGGAACAATGATCTGGGATCTTAGGCAGAGATAGTCGAGATAGAGACACTAGGAGGATCAGAGATGAGAGAGAGAGAGAGAGAGCGAGAGAGAGAGCACTGACTTTCTAAGCAGGGAGATCCTATTCAGTCAGGATAAGAAGGTAGAAGCTTCCTCCACCTCTGATCTCTAAACTTGGATGAAGATGTCCACTACAACTTCCCCCACAGTCAATGAAGGATCAACACAATCGTTGACCTTTGACTCACTTCAGATAGTACAGCTGTCTAAACGCTCACACATTAGCATATTTATGTGTGCTAATACTGTATCTCCTCATTGTGATTAAGATAGCAACATACACTATCTAGTAAAGAATGTAATATTTGATGTTTACAATATGTGTATCTATAAATCAATGGTAGGTAACAACACATCTGCCACGCTGATCCTCAACATGGGGGCCCCTCAGGGGTGCGTGCTCAGTCCTCTCCTGTACTCCCTGTTCACCCATGACTGCATGGCCAGGCACGACTCCAACACTATCATTAAGTTTGCAGATGACACAACAGTGGTAGGCCTGATCACCGACAACGATGAGACAGCCTATAGGGAGGAGGTCAGAGACCTAGCCGTGTGGTGCCAGGATAACAACGTGATCAAGACAAAGGAGATGATTGTGGACTACAGGAAAAAAAGGAGGACTGAGCACGCCCTCATTCTCATCGACGGGGCTGTAGTGGAACAGGTTGAGAGCTTCAAGTTCCTTGGTGTCCACATCACCAACAAACTATCATGGTCCAAACACACCAAGACAGTCGTGAAGAGGGCACGACAAAGCCCATTCCCCCTCAGGAGACTGAAAAGATTTGGCATGGGTCCCCAGTTCCTCAAAAAGTTATACAGCTGCACCATCGAGAGCATCCTGACTGGTTGCATCACCGCCTGGTATGGCAACTGCTCGGCCTCCACCACAGAGGGTAGTGCGTACGGCCCAGTAAATCATTGGGGCCAAGCTTCCTTCCATCCAGGACCTCTATACCAGGCGGTGTCAGAGGAAGGCCCTAAAAATTGTCAAAGACTCCAGCCACCCTAGTCATAGACTGTTCTCTCTGCTACCGCACGGCAAATGGTACCGGAGCGCCAACTCTAGGTCCAAAAGGCTTCTTAACAGCTTCTACCCCCAAGCCATAAGACTCCTGAACAGCTAATCATGGCTACCCAGACTATAAGCATTTCACTGTAAGGTTTACACCTGTTGTATTCGGCACATGTGGCAAATAAAATTTGATTTGATTTGATTTGACTGACTGAACTCTAACTGGAACAGTGAGAGAAGAGATAAAACAGAGGCAAAGGTTATCTTTGACATACACAATCCCATCTACACAAAAACACACATGCACACACACAAGCACGCTCACACACACACACACATCAGATTTAACCCAGAACCGTTTTGTTAGTGACAGGGAGGGATGTCTCTGCCAAAGAGTTAACCGGTAACCAGAGCTGACCTATTCTTTTGGCAGGACAATAATGTTTTGTAGGGTCTATAGAATGCTAGGAGACGGGGCATGAACTAACAAACTGGGCATGGGTGCAAGCTGGTCCTCTTCCCCCACCAAAGGTCCTTTCTAATGGGCTGTGTACCACTCGGCCACCCCTTACCCTGGAGCATAGGGGCTTAGATGACTGGGAGGCTCTGTTCCATTCAGCACAGCTCCCTGTCTATCTGATGATTGCCGTTTTGGCAGGCCAACCACTGTTGTTCCTAGAAAGGCTATAAGGGGACCTGGCTGTGCTTCCCACACAACTCTCCTTGCGAGTGAGCGTCCTGTGACAGTCTCTTGACTGCCTCGTTTCTCTGTTGTTGTTGAGTTTTGGCTTGTTAGTGGTATGCGGTAATAACATGTCCCATAACTAACAATCTACATGCCCCCCCCCCCCCCCCCTCTTTTTTGTCTCTCTCTTCCTTCCTTCCTTCAATCCTCCCTCTCTTTCTTTCTCTAACCAGTGGACTCTCTAACCTACATTCTTGCCACTATCGACATTCATATCAATGGTCTCTGGTCAAACCCACCATCCCCCTCTCTATCCCCTCACTCACTTTTCCTCCACTTCTTTCCCATTCTGCTTAGCTCTCTATCTTCAGAGCTGCTTACGAGGCCAGACAGTCAGCCCCTTATGGAGCCAAATAAAGTCAAGCTTAATGCTTAATGGAGATAACCATGTTCACTACGAAAGAGCCTCTGCAATGTGTTTGTGCGTGTGTGTGTGCACGTGTATGTGCATGTGACAGTATACAAAAACATTGTACAAAATCAATTAAGGCAGCTGTAACTACAAGCATTCCTACAGATTATAAAGGATATGTTTTCTTCACGCTGAATTGACCCAGTGTGTCATTACACACCATACCGTTCCACAATGATTACAACCCTATCTTCATGCCCTTCATACTGTGTTAGTATGAATCCATGTTGGAGTTACCTTCACTGAAAAGAGCTATAGGAGTAAGCTCTGCTGAGGAGTCCCACCCTAGAAAAAACCCACCCCTCCCTTCACCCCTCAGCCTCAGCCCCCTCGCAGATAGAGGGCTTTTGTTCTGCATCTAATGTTTTCATTAGGAAACTGGGCGCAACCGAGGGAGAGAGAGTGAGTGCAGGGCAAAGAGTGAGGGAGGAGAGCGAGAGAGAGACAGAGAGAGGGAAGGAAAAAACTGCATACAGTCTAGATTAGCATTCAAGAGATTGTTGGCCACTGAATACACTGAGTATTTCTTTCTCTCTTTCTTTCTTCCCCATATTTCTCTCATTGCAAGCACCAGTTACAGACTCTACTCTTACCCTCCAGCTCCTCTCCTCCGCCATGACCCGCCCCTCCACCATCTCACTGGGACTTCTGCTCCTCCTCATTGGCTACACAGCAGCAGGTAAGATATGTGATTGGGTGTGGCTGGGGTTAGAGGTCATGGGGGAAAGGGCAGGGGGCACAGCAGATGTGTAAACAACCCATAAATAGATGTGTGGTTCACTCTGTTAGATTCTGTTCTAAGTTGTTTGATAGAAGTGCTATTTTCGAAGTGACTTTGTATCAATGTGACTATGCAGTGGACATTAATAGTTATTTGTGCTTAGTAAATAGCTGCAAATCATTTTTGAAACAATGTGATGTCTAACCTTACATGAATTTGAGATCTTTCCACTGTAAAATGGGCTTGCTCTTCAAGGAATATCCATCTTTGTCATTCAGGATCTGTCAATGAGCATATAGGTTCAGCATGTGTGTGTGCGTGGGTGATGGTTGGATGAACATGTGTGTGAGTGTGTGTGTGCATGATATATATATATATATATATATATATATATATATATATATATATATATTTACAGTACCAGTCAAAAGTTTGGACACACCTATTAATTCAAGGGTTTTTCTTAATTTTTTACTATTTTCTACCTTGTAGAATAATAGTGAAGACATCAAAACTATGAAATAACACATATTGAATCATGTAGTAACCAAAAAAGTGTTAAAAAATCTAAATATATCTTAGATTTTAGATTCTTCAAAGTAGCCACCCTTTGCCTTGATGACAGCTTTGCACACTCTTGGCATTCTCTCAACCAGCTTCACCTGGAACGCTTTTCCAACAGTCTTGAAGGAGTTCCTACATATGCTGAGCACTTGTGGGGTGCATTTCCTTCACTCTGCGGTCCAACTCATCCCAAAGCATCTCAATTGGTTAGAGGTCAGGTGATTGTGGAGGCCTGGTTGAGAGAATGGCAAGAGTGTGCAAATCTGTCATCAAGGCAAGGGGGGGCTATTTGAAGAATCTCAAATATAAAATATATTTTGATTTGTTTAACACTTTTTTGGTTACTACATGATTCCATATGTGTTATTTCATAGTTTTGATGTCTTCACTACTATTCTACATTGTAAAATATAGTAAAAATTAAGAAAAACCCTTGAATGAGTAGGTGTGTCCAAACGTTTGACTGGTACTGTATATATATATATATATATATATATATATATATATATATATATATATATATATATATATATATATATATATATATATATAGAGAGAGAGAGAGAGAGAGAGAGAGAGAGAGAGAGAGAGAGAGAGAGAGAGGGAGAAAGAGCGATTATACTCATGTAGCGGGTGATTTGGACGGAATCAGGCGCAAGAGGGTAAATCACAGAATAAAGATTTATTCGGCAGATACAGCGGTACGCAGCAACACGTAAAACACTACAGTGAGGTATAACGGCGCACTGGAGAAAAACAAAACACAGGTGAATATCCCAGCGATACAATACAATAAAGCTCCACATGCTATCGTCATCCCCACATGAAAACAATCACACACAAAGACATGTGGGGGCAGAGGGAATACTTATACAGGTACCAGGTGTGTGTAAAAACAAGACAAAACAAATGGAACGATGAGATGAGGGGCGGCAGTGGCTAGAAGGCCCGTGACAACGAGCGCCGAAGCCTGCCTGAACAAGGAGAGGAGGCAGCTTCGGAGGAAGTCGTGACAACTCATGAGGTTAAAACATCTGTTTCTTATTTTATATGCAGCATTGACCTTTCTCCATGTACTACTCATCAGTATTTTTTTTTTTACAAAAATCTTCCATTTAATCCTTATATGTCCAATGTTTGTCTATCATTCCAATCTTGTTTACTGCTCAAACTGACTTCCAAAGAAAAGAAAAAAACTCCATATCCTACTCTTCAAGGGTTTATGAGAAACCAGGGATGATTGGGCTTGAGTGTGACTTCATACACAAGGAATGGCCAACTACGGCACCAACACATGGAACCACACACTAGTTCTTGCTCTCTCTGCCAACCCAATATTGATCCAGGAAATACTCTGGAGATATGACTCACAGCTTGTTAGTCTCTTTTCCATGCGTAAGCTCTGGTTTGTGGGACCACTGGTGTTGTGTATTAACTGACCTAATTCTCTGGCTCAGGCTGTACTCTTCATTATTTACTCCACTGCACATCTCGCCCTGTCTCCTGTGGCCAGCACAAACACACATTCGAACATGAACACCCCACAGAGACACAGACACACAGAGACAGGCAAACACACACATACACACACCATCTTCCAACCCTGTCTCCCAGGGCGGAGTGTGTTAGATCAGACTCTTGTGGGCTGCTGTGTTTTCCTTTCCTATGGCCTGTTTCCTCTGAGTGTGTGGGTCAGTATTTCTCCTGGTGCAGCTGTGATAGAATACACACATGAGTGTGCACTTCATCAGGCATGTCATCATCTGCCTCATCTGCATTTGTCCAACACATACACTACCAGTCCAAAGTTTGGACACACCTACTCAATCAAGGGTTTTTCTTTATTTGTACAATGTTTTACATTGTAGAATAATAGTGAAGACATCAAAACTATGAAATAACACATGTAGAATCATGTAGTAACCAAAAAAGTGTTAAACAAATCAAAATATATTTTATATTTGAGATTCTTCAAATAGCCACCCTTTGCCTTGATGACAGCTTTGCACAATCTTGGCATTCTCTCAACCAGCTTCATGAGGTAGTCACCTGGAATGCATTGTTAAAAGTTAATTTGTGAAATTTATTTCCTTCTTAATGCATTTGAGACAATCAGTTGTGTTGTGACAAGGTAGGGGTGGTATACAGAAGATAGCCCTATTTGGTAAAATACCAAATTCATATTATGGCAAGAACAGCTCAAATAAGCAAAGAGAAATGACAGTCCATCATTACTTTAAGACATGAAGGTCAGTCAATACGGAACATTTCAAGAACTTTTAAAGTTTCTTCATGTGCAGTCGCAAAAACCATCAAGCGCTATGATGAAACTGGCTCTCATGAGGACCACCACAGGAATGGAAGACCCAGAGTTACCTCTGCTGCAGAGGATAAGTTCATTAGAGTTACCAGCCTCAGAAATTGCAGCCCAAATAAATGCTTCACAGAGTTCAAGTCACAGACACATCTCAACATCAACTGTTTAGAGGGGACTGTGTGAATCAGACCTTCATGGTCGAATTGCTGCAAAGAAACCACTACTAAAGGACACCAATAAGAAGAAGAGAACTGCTTGGGCCAAGAAACACGAGCAATGGACATTAGACCGGTGGAAATGTGTCCTTTGGTCTGGAATCCAAATTGGAGATTTTTGGTTCCAACTGTCTTTGTGAGATGCGGTGTGGGTGAACGGATGATCTCCGCATGTGTAGTTCCCACCGTAAAGCATGGAGGAGGAGTTGTGATGGTGTGGGGGTGCTTTGCTGGTGACACTGTCTGTGATTTATTTAGAATTCAAGGCATACTAAACCAGCATGGCTACCACAGCATTCTGCAGCGATATGCCATCCCATCTGGTTTGCACTTAGTGGGACTATCATTTGTTTTTCAACAGGACAATGACCCAACACACCTCCAGGCTGTGTAAGGGCTATTTTACCAAGAAGGAGAGTGATGGAGTGCTGCATCAGATGACCTGGCCTCCACAATCCCCTGACCTCAACACAATTGAGATGGTTTGGGATGAGTCAGACGCAGAGTGAAGGAAAAGCAGCTAACAAGTGCTAAGCATATGTGGGAACTCCTTCAAGACTGTTTGAAAAGCATTCCAGGTGAAGCTGGTTGAGAGAATGGCAAGAGTGTGCAAAGCTGTCATCAAGGCAAGGGGGGGCTATTTGAATAATATCACATATAAAATATATTTTGATTTGTTTAACACTTTTTGGGTTACTACATGATTCCTTATGTGTTATTTCATAGTTTTGATGTCTTCACTGTTATTCTACAATGTAGAACATAGTAAAAATCAAGAAAAACCTTTGAATGAGTAGGTGTGTCCAAACTTTTGACTGATACTGTACACAAACACACACACACACACACACACACACACACACACACACACACACACACACACACACACACACACACACACACACACACACACACACCAGTGGTGTAGCACAGTTTCCCTGAAAAACTGTTGCAGTGGACAGAGAGAAACATTTGCAGTTTTATATGTAGAGATCCTATTAAATTACTAGCATTCTAATTCTAATTCTAATTATATGGTTTTATAGCTAATCTCATGCTATTTTACACAGCCATGAGGCTGGGATAAGATATTGCAGTTTAAAATCTAATTTCCTGCAATAAAAAAATGAATCATGGCTTATGATGTGTTCACGGCTTTTGACATTATCGATCATAGTCTGCTGATGGAAAAACATATGTGTTATGGCTTTACACCCCCTGCTATATTGTGGATAAAGAGTTACCTGTCTAACAGAACACAGAGGGTATTCTTTAATGGAAGCCTCTCCAACATAATCCAGGTTGAATCAGGTATTCCCCAGGGCAGCTGTCTAGGCCCCTTACTTTTTCTAATCTTTACTAATGACATGCCACAGGCTTTGAGTAAAGCCAGTGTGTCTATGTATGCGGATGACTCAACACTATACACGTCATCTACTACAGCGAGTGAAATCACTGCAACACTTAACAAAGAGCTGCAGTTAGTTTCAGAATGAGTGGCAAGGAATAAGTTAGTCCTAAATATTTCAAAAAGTAAAAGCATTGTATTTGGGACAAATCATTCACTAATCCCTAAACCTCAACTAAATATTGTAGTAAATTATGTGGAAATTGAGCAGGTTGAGGTGATTAAACTGCTTGGAGTAACACTGGATTGTAAACTGTCATGGTCAAAACATGTGTATACAACAGTAGCTAAAATGGGGAGATGTCTGTCCATAAGAAAGGGCTGCTCTGCCTTTTTAACAACACTATCAACAAGGCAGTTCCTACAGGCTCTAGTTTTGTCGCACCTGGACTACTGTTCAGTCGTGTGGTCAGGTGCCACAAAGCTGGACCTCGAAAAATTACAATTGGCTCTGAACAGTGCAGCACGGCTGGCACTTAAATGTACACGGAGAGCTAACATTAATAATATGTATGTAAATCTCTCATGGCTCAGAGTGGAGGAGAGATTGACTTCATCACTACTTGTTTTTGTAAGAAGTGTTGTCATGCTGAATGCACCAAGGTGTCTGTTTAAACTACTAGCACACAGCTCAGTCAATTCACAATCCCCAAGTCAACAGGGAGGCGCATAGTACTACATAGAGCCATGGCTACATGGAACTCTATTCCACATCAGGTAATTGATGCAAGCAGTAGTATCAGAAAAATGATAAAAATACACCTTATGGAACAGCGGGGACTGTGAAGAGACACACACACACAGGCACAGACACACATGATAAGACACACACTCTACACACACGTACACATGGATTTTGTATTGTAGATATGTGATAGTAGAGTAGTGGCCTGAGGGAACACACTTAATGTGTTGTGAAAAGTGTTATGAAATGTTATGTAATGGAATATTGTAAAGTGTATATAACTGCCTTAATGTTGCTGGACCCCAGGAAGAGTAGCTGCTGCCCCTCCGTGGGACCCCAAAGCTTTTTTTAAGGGGGGGGGGGGGGGCTTTGGGGTGGTGCGGGGTGGTGTGCTACGCCAGTGACACACACACTCACTTCCCTGACAAGCTTTACCTGCAGTGTTAGGGTATTTTGGTTCCCCTCCATGTTGATAACCAAACCAGAGCAGCACAGGCTGTTTAAACTGACAGAGCAGGGAATTCTGGCATTCAACAGCAAACCACTATGTTCAGGTTACATACGCTGGATAACTATAGAACTGAGACAGCATCCACTGTGTGTGTGTGTGTGTATGTTCACTGTGTGTGTGCGTTTCTTTGTGTGTGCGCAAATGTACATGCGATCACGTGCTAAATATGCATCTTTCACAGATTGTGATCAATTGATGTTCACATGTGACACGTCTTCCTAAGAAAAAAAGTCCTTAACTATTGTAGTTTGCCAACTGGCTCATACACCCAGATTAATTTCATTTACTGAAAGTTAAGGGTCCATATGTCTGTAGTACTGATGCAGAGACACCTGGTATGTTTGTCCATTGAGAGAAATCTAAAGAGGAGCTCTATCTTACATTCATCCTTTGGGTTTCCTTGGCTTTAGTCCTGGATATGATCTGTTGTGTTGTAATGGAGCTTATAAAATTGTACCGCGGGATAGCTCCATAAAAACAGCACAACTGGTAATCCATGGCTGCTATTCACAGGGCACTGGAGGACAGTCATGACGCCGGAAAATGTGTGTTAATTTTTTTGACAGGCAGGGAATAGACAACTATAAATATGAGGCCAAATTAAACCCTCAATAGACTGCTATATATCAGAGAGGAAGAGGCAAAGCGAGAGGGTTTACTCCACCTAAAATCTGTCCACGTTCAGCAGGTCATTAGTTATTAAGCAAGAGAGCAGTTTTTGTATGGGGGGCAAGGAGAATTTAGTCAAGATAAAAATGTATTGCTATTTTGATACGTGAGGCATATTTGATCTAATAGAAGTTTCGTAATGCTTAGGTTGTTACGAGGGTACTGATAGAAGTGTGATGCACGTGACATCACGGCAACTTTCAGAAAAAACACTTTACTTCGGAGTTGTCCCTTTTTGAAATTCGAGACGGTCTATGCATATTCATGAGGCTAGCATAGCATCTCACTTTTACATTTTAGTCATTTAGCAGACGCTCTTATCCAGAGCGACTTACAGTTAGTGCATACATTTTCATACTGGCCCCCCATGGGAAACGAACCCACAACCCTGGCGTTGCAAGCGCCATGCTCTACCAACTGAGCTACAGGGGACTACCTGCCATTGAATACAGGCGGTTGACGTCAACAACCATCATCAAATGTTCAAAAAAGAATTCAAATAACAAGATGTATCTACCAATCCAAAGAGAGTAAAAGGTGAGAGCTTGAGAGCTTGCCGTTCCGTTAGGTGGACTACTAATCCCATTGTTAGGGAGGAGACATAGGCATCTCGTCATTATATCCAGTATCTCTGTATACAGTATACAGTATGTTGTATGTAACTGTCTTTGTCTTGTGTTTGTAATACCCTTTAGCGTGCACATAATGTCACAAATTAACTTTACCTAAGGGCCTGGGACAATATATAGTAAGTAAGAAATGTCTAGCTTAAAGACCTATGTTAAACAGTTCTGTGATGTCATGGAAACCAGATGCAACAGGAAGTGTGGCTGAAGAGAATAGAAAGGACACCATGCAATAGATTATGCATGGTCTATGCTCCACGAATCATTAAGAAGAAGCTTGTCTTCACAGACATACGGACCACACATCCCAGCCACATTCATCACATCCATCGGCAGAGACCAGAGCTTCAGCTCACAGACAAAATAGGGGGCTCTTAAAAAGGGGGTGGGTGGTTAATTGGAACCATGAAACCTGGATGGCAAAGAGAAAAAGCTGGTGGAACAATGTATATGGAGGTTTCTTCACCACACCCAACCCATAAAGGTTCAAGGTTGATTCAAAGTGTGACCGCCTCACGGTTCACATCCAGACAAAGGGTTGTATCAAAGCTATGCCATTTCTTGTAGTAGACTACTTAGCCTAAAGGTGTACAGGTAAAACACAGGCAGGGATGCTGCTCCTTAATGCTTACCCTGGATCAGCAGCATCTCCTCTAAACAAACTGGTTCCCGTCCTGGTGAGAGTGAGGGTGAACTGATCCCAGCTCAGTTTGTGGCAGCGCAATGTCAACAGAATGGCATGTGGTCAGGGGTTGTGGTGAACTGGATGGCTGGGCTGCAGGCTGCCTGCAGAGCAGAGCTGTAGAGGTAAAAGAAAACACTTGGAACGGGCTGTGAACCAGTCAGAGGGAGAGCGAGAGAGAGAGAGGAAGGAGCAGGAGAGGAGACAAGGAATACTTGTTTTGGTGACCTTTAGCGATTAGCTGGATGAAGATGTATAATGGAACTCAAGCTGTGGATAGAGATAGTAGACAGAAATACACAGGCCTAGGGAGGATTTGAGAATTTTGCTGTGCTGGGTATTGGGGTCCATACATACTACAATGTGTCCTATAGTCTAGGCTGTATGTAGGATACTAAGATATTGTAATGTAAAGATAACGTGTGTTGATAAAGTCAGAAATACAGTTAGAAATCATTTTTTATCGTATGGAAAATCATGCCTTCTGCTTTATGTTTTCCATCAGGACCTGAGTCTGAGCTCCAACCCAGAGCTGTTCGGTCAAGTGCCTGTCAGGACCACAGTGCTCTTCATGACAGACTGGATGTAGTGGAGAAGGTAGAGTAAGAAGCAATGCTTTTCACTGTCTCTTTCTGTCACACTATAACAAAAGAATATGATGGTGTTATAAAGCCTTCATAAACCCTTTATCCCTTTAACTGTCTCTTCTTGAAAAACATGTTGAAAAAATTATTTGACCTTACATTCCTATTACTAATAACTCAAATAAGAACTAGAAATATATATTTTTCAACTTTATGTTTAATTTGTAAATTACAGAGCTCTACCAGGTGGTTGAGAAGTCACATTAGAATGGCAATTTGCATAGAATTGTTACTCATCTAAAAAATAGAACATAAATTACTTAGGCCTGCTTCAATGGCTTTCATAAGTAGGCAAGCATTGTTAAATGAGGACTGATGTCAAATTTGAACACATTATGGTAATTTTGTGTGTCCAAAGATGAATATTCAATTACATTGAAATTCATGTGTTTTCAGGTAGTGTACAGTGCAATATCCCCTAAAATGGTTTTCTTGAATTTGAAATGATCTAGGTCAGGGATGGCCAACTAGCGGCCCCCCTTTTGTAGGCCCACAGATCAATTTCCCCAAAAAATTCAATTAAAATTAGGAACACAGTCAGTGTCTCAACTTACTGTTGAGAGTTAGAATAGTAGATACACAATGCATTTTGAAATTTGGTTGTGCATCAGCAGTTTTTCTCTTGTTATGTCAGTCACTGACAGTCACTGAATTAGCCCATGCCATCTAAACATTTTTTAGATTGGTAAATTCGTCTAGCCAGCTATCTACAGTGAGGGAAAAAAGTATTTGATCCCCTGCTGATTTTGTACGTTTGCCCACTGACAAAGAAATTATCAGTCTATAATTTTAATGGTAGGTTTATTTGAACAGTGAGAGACAGAATAACAACAAAAAAATCCAGAAAAAAACGCATGAAAAAAAGGTTATAAATTGATTTGCATTTTAATGAGGGAAATAAGTATTTGACCCCCTCTGAATCAGAAAGATTTCTGGCTCCCAGGTGTCTTTTATACAGGTAACGAGCCTAGATTAGGAGCACACTCTTAAAGGGAGTGCTCCTAATCTTAGCTTGTTACCTGTATAAAAGACACCTGTCCACAGAAGCAATCAATCAATCAGATTCCAAACTCTCCACCATGGCCAAGACCAAAGAGCTCTCCAAGGATGTCAGGGACAAGATTGTAGACCTACACAAGGCTGGAATGGGCTACAAGACCATCGCCAAGCAGCTTGGTGAGAAGGTGACAACAGTTGGTGCGATTATTCGCAAATGGAAGAAACACAAAATAACTGTCAATCTCCCTCGGCCTGGGGCTCCATGCAAGATCTCACCTCGTGGAGTTGCAATGATCATGAGAACGGTGAGGAATCAGCCCAGAACTACACGGGAGGATCTTGTCAATGATCTCAAGGCAGCTGGGACCATAGTCACCAAGAAAACAATTGGTAACACACTACGCCGTGAAGGACTGAAATCCTGCAGCGCCCGCAAGGTCCCCCTGCTCAAGAAAGCACATATACAGGCCCGTCTGAAGTTTGCCAATGAACATCTGAATGATTCAGAGGAGAACTGGGTGAAAGTGTTGTGGTCAGATGAGACCAAAATCGAGCTCTTTGGCATCAACTCAACTCGCCGTGTTTGGAGGAGGAGGAATGCTGCCTATGACCCCAAGAACACCATCCCCACCGTCAAACATGGAGGTGGAAACATTATGCTTTGGGGGTGTTTTTCTGCTAAGGGGACAGGACAACTTCACTGCATCAAAGGGATGATGGACGGGGCCATGTACCATCAAATCTTGGATGAGAACCTCCTTCCCTCAGCCAGGACATTGAAAATGGGTCGTGGATGGGTATTCCAGCATGACAATGACCCAAAACACACGGCCAAGGCAACAAAGGAGTGGCTCAAGAAGAAGCACATTAAGGTCCTGGAGTGGCCTAGCCAGTCTCCAGACCTTAATCCCAAAGAAAATCTGTGGAGGGAGTTGAAGGTTCGAGTTGCCAAATGTCAGCCTCGAAACCGTAATGACTTGGAGAAGATCTGCAAAGAGGAGTGGAACAAAATCCCTCCTGAGATGTGTGCAAACCTGGAGGCCAAATACAAGAAACGTCTGACCTCTGTGATTGCCAACAAGGGTTTTGCCACCAAGTACTAAGTCATGTTTTGCAGAGGGGTCAAATACTTATTTCCCTCATTAAAATGCAAATCATTTTTGACATGCGTTTTTCAGGATTTTTTTGTTGTTATTCTGTCTCTCACTGTTCAAATAAACCTACCATTAAAATTATAGACTGGTCATGTCTTTGTCAGTGGGCAAACGTACAAAATCAGCAGGGGATCAAATACTTTTTTCCCTCACTGTATATACTTTGCTTCAAGTGTAACCTCTCTTTCTTTGTATCTCTCACACACAAATAAATCTAGCCTTATTTAGTTTCACATTTCCGAATTTCCAGGGCAGACATTCCATCATCCAAGGAATTTGGGAGATTTCCCAGTGGTGTGTAACATTACTACTTTGTATCAACAAAAAAAAATTTTGATGGTGACACCAAAAGAATCTGCACGATTTCCTTTAAAGGAAATGTTTTTTGTACTAACAATGCCCATCCAAACTACTCAGCAGTGGAATTCACTCAGTCACACAAAAAATCCTCTTTGGTTCACACCGCCCAGGGAGTATTGCTGTTGAGTGAGTATTGAGTGCGTCTGAGGAGAACCTATTCCCTAGCTATTCTATACTGTAGGTCATGGTTTCATAAACCATCGGTTGGGACCCAAAGTGGGTCCCGGGCATGTGATATGTGGGTCGTGAGTTATGAGAATACATCTAAAATAACAGACAATTTCTTCTTAATTTGGGTTGTTGGAGGACGATTTGGGTGATGGGAGGACGGTCAATTTTTCATTTGGGTCTCGAGCTGAAGAAGTTTCAGAACCCCTGCTCTAGGTGTTTGTGTAGAATAGTTAAAACAATTTTATACCACAGCATTGTTGAATACTCATTTCTGATTGGCTAGAAGGGCATTCTAGAATGGACATTAAAACCAGATAACGGGACAGTTGGAAAATATATCAGGACAGTTGGAAAATATATCGGGACACCTTGCAATCATGACGCAATATGTGCCTACACATGCAGACCGTACTTCCTACAAAGTTACATCAAGCTAAACCAACAACTACACAAACTGAAATTGAATACATTGTAAACGCAGGTCCTCAAATGGCAGCTTCATTAAATAGTACCCGCAAAACACCAGTCTCAACGTCAACAGTGAAGAGGCGACTCCGGGATGCTGACCTTCTAGGCAGAGTTATGGCTTTTTCTTTGCAACTCTGCCTAGAAGTTCAGCATCCCGGAGTCGCCTCTTCACTGTTGACGTTGAGACTGGTGTTTTGCGGTACTATTTAATGAAACTGCCAGTTGAGGACCTGTGAGGCATCTGTTTCTCAAACTAGACACTCTAATGTATTTGTCCTCTTGCTTAGTTGTGCACTGCGGCCTCCCACTCCTCTTTCTATTCTGGTTAGAGCCAGTTTGCGCTGTTCTGTGAAGGGAGTAGTACACAGCGTTGTACGAGATCTTCAGTTTCTTGGCAATTTCTCGCATGGAATAGCCTTAATTTCTTAGAACAAGAATAGACTGACGAGTTTCAGAAGAAAGTTCTTTGTTTCTGGCCATTTCGAGCCTGTAATCGAACCCACAATTGCTGATGCTCCAGACACTCAACTAGTCTCAAGAAGGCCAGTTTTATTGCTTCTTTAATCAGCACAACAGTTTTCAGCTCTGCTAACATAATTACAAAAGTGTTTTCTAATGATCAATTAGCCTTTTAAAATGATAAACTTGGATTAGCAAACACAACGTGCTATTGGAACACAGGACTGATGGTTGCTGATAATGGGCCTCTGTACGCCTATGTAGATATTCCATTAAAAATCAGCCGTTTCCAGCTACAATAGCCATTTACAACAACAAATATTTTAGCTTTATTTAACTGCCATGCAAGTCAGTTAAGAACAAATTCTTATTTACAATGACGGCCTACGCTGGGCCAATTGTGCACCGCCCTATGGGACACCCAATCATGGCCGGTTGTGATACAGCCTGGAATCAAACCAGGGGGTCTGTAGTGACGCCTCAAGCACTGAGATGCAGTGCCTTAGACTGCTGCGCCACTCTGGAGCCCAATGTCTACACTGTATTTCTGATCAATTTGATGTTATTTTAATGGACAAAAAAATTGTTTTCTTTAGAAAACAAGGACATTTCTAAGTGACCCCAAACTTTTGAACGGTAGTGTACTATGCGTTTTTGCGGCTTCACTTGAAGAAACTTTCAAAGTTCTTGAAATTGTCTGGATTGACTGACCTTCATGTCTTAAAGTAATGATGGACTGTCGTTTCTCTTTGCTTATTTGAGCTGATCTTGCCATAATATGGACTTGGTCTTTTACCAAATAGGGCTATCTTCTGTATACCCCCCTACCTTGTCACAACACAACTGATTGGCTGAAACACATTAAGACGGAAGTAAATTCCACAAATGTACTTTTAAGAAGGCACACCTGTTAATTTAAATGCATTCCAGGTGACTTCCTCATGAAGCTGGTTGAGAGAATGCCAAGAGTGTGCAAAGCTGTCATCAAGGCAAATGGTGGCTATTTGAAGAATCTCAAATATAAATCTATTTTGATTTGTTTAACACTTATTTGGTTAATACATGATTCCATATGTGTTATTTCATAGTTTTGATGTCTTCACTATTATCGTGGTCCTCTGTAGCTCAGCTGGTAGAGCACGGCGCTTGTAACGCCAAGGTAGTGGGTTCGATCCCCCAGGACCACCCATACACAAAAATGTATGCACGCACAACTGTAAGTCGCTTTGGATAAAAGTGTCTGCTAAATGGCATATTATTATTATATTATTATTCTACAATGTAGAAAATAGTAAAAAATAAAGAAAAACCCTAGAATGAGTAGGTGTGTCCAAACTTTTGACTGGTAGTGTAAGTATTTAGACCCTTTACTCAGTACTTTGTTGAAGCACCTTTGGCAGCGATACTTCTTCCATACATCCATACTTCTCTGCAGATCCTCTCAAGCTCTTTCAGGTTGGATGGGGACCATTGTTGCACAGCTATTTTCAGGTCTTTCCAGAGATGTTCGATTGGGTTCAAGTCTGGGCTCTGGCTGAGCCACTCAAGGACATTCAGAGACTTGTCCCGAAGCCACTCCTGCGTTGTCTTGGCTGTGTGCTTAGGGTCGTTGTCCTGTTGAAAGGTGAACCTTCACCCCAGTCTGAGGTCCTGAGCGCTCTGGAGCAGGTTTTCACCAAGGATCTCTCTGTACTTTGCTCCGTTCATCTTTCCCTCGATCCTGACTAGTCTCCCAGTTGCTGCTGCTGAAAAACATCCCCACAGCATGATGCTGCCACCACCATGCACCATGGTCCTCTGTAGCTCAGCTGGTAGAGCACGGTGCTTGTAACGCCAAGGTAGTGGGTTCAATCCCTGGGACCACCCATACACAAAAAAAAATTATGCACGCATGACTGTAAGTTGCTTTGGATAAAAGCGTCTGCTAAATGGCTTATTATTTGGACTTGGTCTTTTACCAAATAGGGCTATTTTCTGTATACCACACCTACCTTGTCACAACATAACTGATTGGCTGAAACGCATTAAGAAGGAAAGAAATTCCACAAATTAACTTTTAACAAGGCACACCTGTTAATTGAAATGCATTCCAGGTGACTACCTCATGAAGCTGGATGAGAAAATGCCAAGAGTGTGCAAAGCTGTCATCAAGGCAAAGGGTGGCTATTTGAAGAATATAAAATATAAAATATGTTTTGATTCGTTTAACACTTTTTTGGTTACTACATGATTCCATTTGTGTTATTTCATAGTTTTGATGTCTTCACTATTATTCTACAATGTAGAAAATAGTAAAAATAAAGAAAACCCCTGAATGAGTAGGTGTGTCCAAACTTTTGACTGGTACTGTATCCAAATGAATGTCAATAGAAAACAACTACTTTTCTGCATTTCGTGTTTTTATATTGACATTTCTTTCTATATATCCATAACAATTATGCTGATTCATGATTTCGACTGGGTGAGAAAAGCTGCCAGCCTATCTGTCTCGTCCCGACTCCTGACACGTTCATTACCATAGGACAGCTGGAGCTCGAATTTCAGTATTGAAACAATGTTGCAAATGTCGGAGAGACAGACAGCAAGGTTATTACAGATATCCACTGTTGAAAACCAAATGCTAGTCTAAAAGAAATGGGAGATAATGTCTAGATGCTTTTTACAGTGAAATCTAGTATATAAATTACCTGGATGAGCTGACGAGACAGTGGATTGCGCAGTCAGATGCAACAGAGTAAATAGGGATTTCAACGTAATAGATTTTGCCGGTGGTAACTTGTGGAATAGACACCCGCTGCAACGCGGTTTCAAACAATCAGCATCCAGGATTAAACCCACCCGTTATATAATTCCTTATAACGTACGGTATATTTGCACAGTAGAATTCAATGGTTATAGTTAATTCTTACATTCTATGTTTGAGCTGCTTTTGAAAGCAAAAGTCGAATTGAAAACATTATTGGCATTATTGAATTTGATTTTCATAATGGCAAGCTAGGACTGATGGTTTGGTTAGCTAAACTGGTTCCCACTGTCGCTATCTAGTAAACTTGGTAGCTACTTCAGTGAATGTTGAACACATTTTTCCTGGCAAATGAACACATTTCTAGCGGCAAATGTGTTGAGTTATAGTCACAGTCACGACCTTTTATAAGCAAATTAATAATTTTGCTTACAATACTATAAGCACACATCTACAGGTAGAAAAAAACAACAACATTATATACAGTGAGGGAAAAAAGTATTTGATCCCCTGCTGATTTTGTACGTTTGCCCACTGACAAAGACATGATCAGTCTATAATTTTAATGGTAGGTTTATTTGAACAGTGAGAGACAGAATAACAACAAAAAAATCCAGAAAAACGCATGTCAAAAATGTTATAAATTGATTTGCATTTTAATGAGGGAAATAAGTATTTGACCCCTCTGCAAAACATGACTTAGTACTTGGTGGCAAAACCCTTGTTGGCAATCACAGAGGTCAGACGTTTCTTGTAGGTGGCCACCAGGTTTGCACACATCTCAGGAGGGATTTTGTTCCACTCCTCTTTGCAGATCTTCTCCAAGTCATTAAGGTTTCGAGGCTGACATTTGGCAGCTCGAACGTTCAGCTCCCTCCACAGATTTTCTATGGAATTAAGGTCTGGAGACTGGCTAGGCCACTCCAGGACCTTAATGTGCTTCTTCTTGAGCCACTCCTTTGTTGCCTTGGCCATGTGTTTTGGGTCATTGTCATGCTGGAATACCCATCCACAACCCATTTTCAATGCCCTGGCTGAGGGAAGGAGGTTCTCACCCAAGATTTGACGGTACATGGCCCCGTCCATCGTCCCTTTGATGCGGTGAAGTTGTCCTGTCCCCTTAGCGGAAAAACACCCCCAAAGCATAATGTTTCCACCTCCATGTTTGACGGTGGGGATGGTGTTCTTGGGGTCATAGGCAGCATTCCTCCTCCTCCAAACACGGCGAGTTGAGTTGATGCCAAAGAGCTCGATTTTGGTCTCATCGGACCACAACACTTTCACCCAGTTCTCCTCTGAATCATTCAGATGTTCATTGGCAAACTTCAGACGGGCCTGTATATGTGCTTTCTTGAGCAGGGGGACCTTGCGTGCGCTGCAGGATTTCAGTCCTGAAAATTAAAATTATAGACTGATCATGTCTTTGTCAGTGGGCAAACGTACAAAATCAGCAGGGGATCAAATACTTTTTTCCCTCACTGTAAGGGATAATCAACTCGGGGCTCTATGCGTTCTCTGGAAAATAATGCAACTCTGTGGAAGGTCAGTTCCACTCCTCTAGCGTGTCGTGGAACACACCTTCCACTTAGTTCATTATTTTCCATAGAATGCATAGCCCCTCATTGATTATACCTTACATAAAGGGGTTTTTTCTCTACCAGTAAATGTGTGCTTTTAGTATTGCTTTCTTTGGCAACTGTGGTATAAGCTGGATAGACAGCTTAAACAAATGCAACGGAATAAACTTAGCTGAACATAAAGAACGAACGACTGGGTCACGCCTAAAAATATCGAACTAATCTAACAAATGACTGGGTCACGTCTCTAGCAATCAAAAGATGAGAAAGTAGGAATTCGCTTATAAAAATGAAAATATCAGCGAAAAATACGTATTCCTACTGTGTGCTTTCATATTGTTTTCTTTGGCAACTGTGGTATAAGCGGGATAAACGCCTCCATTCTGTACATTACCTTGGAAAAATTAAGAACTCTGTGTCGTCCATTATTTCCAAGGCAATGTACAGAACGTCAGTTTATCCCTTACGTAATAGCTTCACCTTGATAGGCTACATAGAATTTTTGCCATATTTCTTACTATCCAATTCTTTCAGATCTGCACTCAGATGGGTCTAGGTTCTAGGGGTAGGACCTAGGAATCAATGTGAGTTGGGCTGATAATGACCCTGTCTGTCCCCTATATGTCCCCTGCAGCATGTAGAGGACACAGTCCAGAAGCTGGAGGCTGAGCTGGCTGTGCTGCTGGATGCCATAGAGGCCCCTGAGTGGAGCCCCCGGCTGGACACTGCTGGAAAACATGTGGTGGACATCCTGGATGGCCAGGGACTGGGAGAGGGGAGGGACTCCTGAGAGAGGACGAGAAGAGCGGAGATCTCTGTTGGGCGGCTATGCTACTTCACTCTGCCCTGATGAGGGTGCACCTGGCAAGGACAGACAATGAAAGACACTTTAATGTACAATCTTTGATTTTCTGGAGTTGTAATTGTACACAGACTGTATAAAACAAGCCCTTTAATAAAGTGTAAACACAGGCTTAGTATGTATTCTGTGGTACAGTTGATAGATTCCGACACTAATTATTATTTGTCTGCATAATACACTCCTCTAATCCTCGGACACTCTCATTCTTTCTCCCTTCTTAGACTAAACCTGAATCCCTACACACAAGAGTAACTGTGTCTCAGCCTCTCAGGATGTTTACAGTTCTAAACCATTGATACTATGGTTTTATCTAGTAATGTATTCTGTTCTGTGTGGGATTGTGTCCCTTTCCTGTCCCATGCCTCTGTTCCACCCCCTGGTGCCAGTTGAGAGCTACACATGCAGGACCAAGCCACAAGGTAGGCCGTGCCCTTTACCACAGATCAAGAATCAGGTTATCCAACCCCTATCCTAAACCATTAGGGGGGGCATGAAATAATACCTGACCTTGTATCAGTGGTTAAGGGCAACTGATAATCTCAATGTGGATGAATGATGAAAACAAACATCTAGAGACTACTGGAAGGAATTTATTTATCAAAGCAGTTAAAGCAACATGTTTCAATAAACAGAGCAGTTTGAATAGGTACAGTACACGGCTTCCACTGAGACCCAGGCTAGTTGCAAGTGTATTTATTTAGTCCCCATAAAAGTCTTACAGAACATTTTCAAAATCGGATCACAAAGAGGAGAGTGGTCATTGATTTTGATTACTCAAAAATTGACACTACATTACTAAATGTTGCTACAAAGATAAGACAGTAATATCTGTGAGAGCGTTAATACTTATCCAGTTGATGGGAAAAGTACTGTTCTGTCACAATGCTGTTTGAAATACCCAGGTATATATACTTACAACAATGTTATCCAAGAAACTAACATGTAAACACAATGGTACAAACACGTTAAAGATTTTTGGGGGTTAGGCAAGCAACATCCAACCAGGAATGGAGATGCATTTTTAAATTATATCAAGAGAATGACATTAGGCTACAATATTGTTGAACTTAGAAAAAAGCTACCCAGCAGGGTTCCATTAAAATCAATGACTTTTCATTACAAACAGTCAACTCAATCACATGGCCATTTCTAGCACTGGAGACTGAGCATCCAGTCAAGCTTTTTCATCTAGCCGGCAGTAGTGAGGACAATGTAAAGACATGTTGAAGAGCAATATTTAAGACTTTTCACATAGCTAAGGGCAGACTCACACACTGCCCAAACCCTTGGCCTGATCCCTTTCCCATATACATAACAAAGCACAGAAAACCTAAACTTACCCACATTGGAACATAGAAGGGCATAGTTGCTGACTTATTAAATCATCCACTTAAGGAAGGAAAAGCCTGTGCACTTGAACATATTCTTAAGACAATCTACGGGATGCCAAAAGTTACTGCATATAATCTAAAATATCATGCCATCCATATAACACTGGGAATAAATTATTTGTACAGTCGTAAGTCTTAAATCTGTTTTTTAGCAAACCTAGACATCACATAGATAGGCAAGCAGGACAGGGCTACACTGATTATACAAGGCCTCTCCTCTGTCAATCATCAGAACACAGGTGAACATCAAGGTATGCTACTGCCTGAAGCTTGCATGTGCACATACTGTAAGCCACACAAACCCTAGCATTTGGCTCTCCTACAAAATCTGTTTTAAACTGTAAATAGAGGTACATGCAAAAATGCAGTGTTTGAGACGCTATCGGCATAATTAATGCGCTTATTTTCCCAGGAAATCTGATTTTTTAAATCATATAATTGAATAATATTTTATTTCTCCCCAAAAACATTCCTTTATATATTATCACAATAAATGGTTGTTTACAAATGATAGTATTTTCACAGAAGGAACAGTGGTTCTATGCGCTACAGAGAGGAAACATACATTCACACACAAAGATCCTTAGAAATGGCTATGCAAATGGTAGAAAAGCTTTGGCATATCTGCCTACAAGTTGTGCCTGCACACTTGGAAATAAAATTAGTACAACAGTGTATGAAGGTTTGGCTTCATACTACTATTAATTTAGTAACATGTACGTTTAGTAAGCAGTCCCACATAAAACTGTGGAGAGTTAGGTTAGGCTATTTACACCTTACTTTGTTAGGCCTTAGGGTTTTAAGGTGGACAATGCTACATGTTCCCAGATGTCCAGGCTGAGAGTAATGGCACCACCTTAAATGTACCACTATCCCTATTAGGTGACTGTTTCAACCACACAACTCAAAATACTGCCCCATGATAATTTTTCATATGGAGTGATCTAGACAATCATATTTGAGAGACGATTGTCAAATTCCACGGTCATCTTAGTCTAATAAGGGATATGTTCAACTACGAGATTCTTCTGTAGCTATTCAATAGAAGTTGATCATGTCTGATCCATGGAAAAAGAAAGACTAGAACAGGCAAAGCCTCTCAGACCATGTCAATTTGACTAAACCCTTATGGGTCCACTCAATATGATTCTCCTTCTATGGTCTGATCCCCTGGTAGTGACAATGTTTATGTTTAACATATAAGAACTCAAGCAGTATGAGCATGTAACCCCCAGTGGAACAGTGGGAGATTAGAACAGCATCTTGGCAACAGTCACAGAGATCGATGGTGAGGGAAACCTTCCTTTTACACCACAGTTGTACTAAGTTCCTCTAACTGACAGGGCATTTGAAAATCTAACAATGTCTGGAAAAAGGTTTCGTTGGAGGAGCGTAACCACCGTAGTAAAATCAAACCAGCATGCTGATGCATTCTATAGCCTAAATTAACGTGTAATGAATGGCTATTGATTAACAATCAACACCACTTAAAAGTGGTTCTACATCATTGGATTGAACTAGTGATTTATTTTAAATTGCAAAACCTCTTTGTCCCGAACGGCCCATACTGTATCTATTAGAAGGCTCACTTACTGCGACTGGAAACAACATTTACCCTCCTCTAAAAGTATCTTTCCGCTGCACTACCTTAGAAATAGAATTCCATAGAACATAGTAATAGAATAGTTATTCTATATCTATGTGCACTACACTGTATATTGGCATTGTGATACTTGAACAATTATATATTATCATTGAAATTAAAGGCATTTGGAGAAGTTACCCTAACAACAGTAATAGTGGTTCTGAATAGGAGGAGTGCACAGAGAGTAGGAGAGGGATTGCATGAGCTACACAGGCAAAGAAAACTAAGAGTGCCTAACTCAGTTGAATAATTCAGTATGTGAGTTTGCAGAGGTAGCTACATCTACCCGAGGCTAAGCGAGCGGGAAGGCTCTGCAAAAAAACTCTTAAACCTGGCTCCTATTGCTCTGTATGTTGTCATGCTCATATATTGTGTGGCTTATGCTGCTTGTTATCCCCTCTCGTAATGATACCTTACTTTCATGCTATACTGTACGTTGCATAGAAATGAGTTAGAGCTTACTCTAGGGCGCGGAGGGTGGGACCGCTCTGTAACCTGCAGTTTAATTCATGCCTTAACGGTGGATGCTACAGAAGAAGAAATAGGAGAGCCATTTTGTGTCCTGCTGTGCGTTCCAGTTCCTCCAGTCATCATGGCTACATAGGAGAGGTTAGAGCATCTATAGGCATGGTTACACACACACAGCAGCCTGAGAGACCACCAGGTGGCGATGTGGTGCTAGCAGCTGCCAGGAGAGGAGCAGACCGAGCCGCACATGCTTAGTTTGGAGGAGGACTCGGGTTCGGGTTCGGGATCCTCATCCTCTGTGCCTCCCTCAGCCTCCCCGGATCCGTCTCCATCACCATCATCACCCCCCTCGGCAGCTCCTTCAGACTCCCCTCCCTCTGCACCCTCCTCCTGCCTCTTTTTCAACCTGAGAGACATCCATCCATACATACATACATACATACATACATTCATACACATGCACACGTGCACCCACACACGCGATAGGAGAGAAAAACCCATTTGTGATTAGAATACATAGGACAGTCTAAGGACTGTGATATACTCTCTGTCTAGAAATTATGCCCAAGTAGTAAAAATAGAACTCAAGCTCCATTAATTATAGCAATAAGAAAACTCAACTTGCCATGCAGGAAGAATTCCAAATTATGCTGCAATCTCAGACAGGTAAATAATAAATGAAGTAATAATTTTTTAATTACATGAAATATGAGCTATCGTCACCAGTGTAGGATCTCTTGATATAAGCATAGCATTACGGCAACAATATAGGTCATAAAACAGCTATATATATTTATAACGCCATCATTAAGTCGAGGTAATGTACAGAGAATTTCAGTGATGTCAATGTCACTGGAAGCAACATTGGACAGGGAGGATGTACAGTAGCACATAAACAGTTATTCACCATAAACTTAAAATTATGATGGCAGAAACCTAAAGCTATTATAAGGCTGATTCATAACACCACCTTCTAACCTTTGATATGAAGACCACATATTGCATTATATTGCATATTGTTCTGTAAAGGATAGATTACATGGAGAAATGACCATGTAAATAATCGTTATATAATCTTGGTACTTATGTCAAATGTAAGGGATAATCGACAAGGGGCTATGCGCTCTCTGGAAAATAATGAACGACGTGGAAGGTGTGTTCCACGATGCGCTACAGTAGCGGAATGGAACTAGCCTTCCACAAAGTTGCATTATTTTCCAGAGAACGCATAGAGCCCCGAGTTGATTATCCCTTTTATACAATGGATATAATTTAACACATTTTCCACTAGAAATGTGTACATTTGCCGGTAGAAATGTGTTCAACATCCACTGAAGTAGCTAGCAAGTTACTATATACAGTGCATTCGGAAAGTATTCAGATCCCTTGACTTTTTCCACATTTTGTTACGTTAAAGCCTTATTCTAAAAGGGATTAAATAAATACAAATCCTCATCAATCTACACACAATACCCCATAATGACAAAGTGAAATCTGCACATTTATAAAAACTTAAGAACAGAAAGACCTTATTTACATAAGTATTCAGACCCTTTGCTATGTGACTCGAAATTGAGCTCAGGTACATCCTGTTTCAATTGATCTACCTTGAGATGTTTCTACAAATTGATTGGAGTCCACCTGTGGTAAATTCAATTGATTGGACATGATTTGGAAAGGCACACACCTGTCTATATAAGGTCCCACAGTTGACAGTGCATATCAGAGCAAAAACCAAGCCATGAGGTCGAAGGAATTGTCCGGAGAGCTCCGAGACAGGATTGTGTCGAGGCACAGACCTGGGGAAGGGTACCAAAACGTTTTTGCACCATTGAAGGTCCCCAAGAACTCAGTGGCCTCCATCATTCTTAAATGGAAGAAGTTTGGAACCACCAAGACTCTTCCTAGAGTTGGCCGCCCGGCCAAACTGAGCAATCGAGGGAGAAGGGCCTTGGTTAGGGAGGTCACTCTGACAGAGCTCCAGAGTTCCTCTATGAAGATGGGAGAACCTTCCAGAAGGACACCCATCTCTGCAGCACTCCACCAATCAGGCCTTTATGGTAGAGTGGCCAGACAGAAGCCACTCCTCAGTAAAAGGCACATGACAGCCCCCTTGGAGTTTTCCAAAAGGCACCTAAAGACTCTCAGACCATGAGAAACAAGATTATCTGGTCTGATGAAACCAAGATTGAACTCTTTTGGCCTTTTTTTTTGGGGGGGGGGGGGGGGGGGTAGAAGGATTACTTTATCCTATTCCTTAAAGAGGTGGGGTTTCAAATGTCTCCGGAAGGAGTTGAGTGACTCCGCTGTCCTGGCGTCGCTGTCCTGGCGTCGTGAGGGAGCTTGTTCCACCAAGTGTCCCGTCTGGAGGAATCCTGGCACCATCCCTATGGTGAAGCATTGTGGTGGCAGCATCATGCTGTGGGGATGTTTTTCAGCAGCAGGGACTGGGAGACTAGTCAGGATTGAGGGAAGGATGAACAGAGCAAAGTACAGAGAGATCCTTGATGAAAACCTGCTCCAGAGTGCTCAGGACCTCAGACTGGGGCGAAGGTTCACCTTCCAACAGGACAATGACCTTAAGCACACAGCCAAGACAACGCAGGAGTGGCTTCGGGACAAGTCTCTGAGAGCCCGGACTTGAACCTGATCGAACATCTCTGGAGAGACCTTAAAATAGCTTTGCTGCAACGCTCCCCATCCAACCTGACAGAGCTTGAGAGGATCTGCAGAGAAGAATAGGAGAAACTCCCCAAATACAGGTGTGCTAAGCTTCTAGCGTCATACCCAAGAAGACTCAATGCTGTAATCGCTGCCAAAGGGGCTTCAATAAAGTACTGAGTAAATGGTCTGAATCCATATTTCAGTTGTTTTTTTATTTGCAAAAATGTCATTATGGGGTATTGTGTCTAGATTGATGAGGGAAAAAAATTATGTAATCAATTTTACAATAAGGCTGTATCGTAACAAAATGTGGAAAAAGTCAAGGGGTCTGAATACTTTCTGAATGCACTGTAGATAGCTACAGTAGTTACCTTGGTAACCAAACAAACAGATTTGCTAGTTTAGCTTACCAAAACATCAGTTCTAGCTTGCTATTATGAAAATTGAATTCAACAATGCCAATAATGTTTTCAATTCGACTTTTGATTTCAAAAGCAGCTCAAACATAGAAGAATGAAGTATAGCCATTGAATTCTACCGTGCTCATATACTGTGGGCTATAGGGAAATAATGCACTCTCTAGAATGCCCTTCAAGCCAATCAGGAATGAGTATTAAACAATGACATTACATTTACATTTTAGCAGACGCTCTTATCCAGAGCGACTTACAGTTAGTGAGTGCATACACATTTTTTTTCATACTGGCCCCCCGTGGGAATCGAACCTACAACCATGGCATTGCAAACACCATGCTCTACCAACTGAGCTACACAGGAATTACGTAGTATAAATAGAGCTAAGATTGATGTAACAATGTGTTTTTTATTGGTCTCCCAGGTTCAGTGATTGGGTCCGCATTTATATTATCTTAGTATATTACAGAGCTAACAATGTGGGACACTCATTAATATCTATTCATGTGTATGTCAGGTGTCCTAGTCCTTATGTAGGTGTTATGTCAGCCTTATGCATACCACTTTAAATACAATTTTCCTAAATGGTTTAACATGAATGTATTTAGATTTGTCTCCCAGGTGAAGTGTTTGGTTTGTGGTCTTACTTCTCGCGGTTGAAGATCATGAACTCAGACTGCACGACTTCAAGGCACTCCTGTAGGTAGTCATTTTCCTGAGGGCAGTAAGGAAAGAGAACAGCCATTATCATCACACACACAGGGTGACACCGACGAACGAGGAGATCAATCTCACCTCAATCAATCACCAGCGAGACCTGAAAGATTACAAACACCCCCTTTTTCCTTCTTCCCTCCTTTAAATCACGCCTGGTGATTTGTTTGTGTTCTTTCCCTCAAATTAGGCTTTTGGCACAGGACAAAAATAGAAGCTCATATTTCCAAAAGCACTTGTGGGCATCACAACACCACTGAAGGCTTCATAATTTAATAATCTAGGTAATAACCCAGCCCCCTCACACACTAGAAGACGTGTCAGGCCCGGAGTAAGATGGGGGCTATTGTTAGAAGATACAAGCTTTACTGCTTTTACAGCACCCAGAGATCACTTTTTGATAACACTGAAGGTCAACATTAATAATGTGGAGCTCGTAATGAGGGGTTTGGCGGATGAAAACCTGGCACAGCTCATAAATATGGATTGTCTAAAATCCATGGTAAATTACGGCCGCAATCACAGATAATAAAGTGGGTTTCTTAAAATACTGTAATCATGCAAGCAAATAACCGGTTTTCAAGACAAAGAGATTGATGATATTCATGAAATGAAGGGACAAAAATAACAACTGGGGAACAGAAGGCTACAGAAGGCACCCTGCGCTCTGTGTAAACCAAGATCTGCCAAACTGTCCAATACCTCAGGTTAAAGGACTATTTACAAGGGTTGTATTCATTAGGGCACGCCATAACAAAACATTTTGCAACGGAAAACAAACATAAACGTTTCAAATTGGACAAGTTCAGGTAGTCCCTCCAAGTTTCAGTCCGTTTTCTTCCGTTTGGTGCCTAATGAACATGACCCAGGCACAGTCAGTAGACTGGGTGATGTGACACTCACAGACTGGGAATCCTTGCTGGCTTCCCGTGACCTGTTCTTGGCCAGTCTCTTCTTCTTCTTGTGGAGGGGACGAGATTCTAGTATCATCTCCTCCAGCTCAAAGGTGGGGTCGCAATGCAGACGGCCCTTCTGTGGAACCAAGACACACAGTACACTAATGAATGACTATATACACTAATACAGGCACACACACACACGCGCGCGCACGGACGAACGCAAGCACACACACACACACACAGGTGTACCTGCAAGTAAGCATTTCATTGTACTGCGTACAACATGACAAATACAGTACATTTGGAAAGTATTCAGACCCCTTCCCTTTTTCCACATTTTGTTACGTTACAGCCTTATTCCTCATCAATCTACACACAATACCCCATAATGACAAAGCGAAAACAGGTTTTTATAAATTCAGACCCTTTGCTATGAGACTCGAAATTGAGCTCAGGTGCATCCTTGAAATGAGCTTCCATGGCCGAGCAGCCGCACACAAGCCTAAGATCACCATGCACAATGCCAAACGCCGGCTGGAGTGGTGTAAAGCTCGCCGCCAAATCTTAACGCTACAATATACAATGAAATTCTAGACGATTCTGTGCTTCCAAATTTGTGGCAACAGTTTGGGGAAGGCTCTTTCCTGTTTCAGCATGACAATGCCCTTGTGCACAAAGCGAGGTCCATACAGAAATGGTTTGACGAGATCAGTGTGGAAGAACTTGACTGGCCTGCACAGAGCCCTGACCTCAACCCCATCGAACACCTTTGGGATGAATTGGAACGCCGACTGCGAGCCAGGCCTAATTGGCCAACATCAGTGCCTGACCTCACTAATGCTCTTGTGGCTGAATGGAAGCAAGTAAATAATAATAATAATTTGCCATTTAGCAGACGCTTTTATCCAAAGCGACTTACAGTCATGCGTGCATACATTTTTGTGTATGGGTCGTCCCGGGGATCGAACCCACTACCTTGGCATTACAAGCGCTGTGCTCTACCAGCTGAGCTACAGAGGACCACAGCAATGTTCCAACATCTAGTGGAAAGGCTTCTCAGAAGAGTGGAGGCTGTTATAGCAGCAAAGGGGGGGGGGGCAACTCCATATTAATGGCCATGTTTTTGTAATGAGATGTTCGACAAGCAGGTGTCCACATACTTTTGGTCAAGTAGTGAATATACTGTATTATGTGTGAAGTGTGAATCAGTGTTTATGGTCCATAAAAGGTGAAAACTCTATGCTCCTATGTGATAGATTTATGGTCTATACTTACGTTAGGAACGAACCCAGCATCTATCTTCTTCTCGTAAACAGCATCCCAGTTGATGTTAGAGAGGTAGGGAGCCGTCTGCATGTGAGACAGGCTGGAGAAACGATGCTCTGGGTTCACCGTCAGCAGCTGGGAGACACACTCGCGCACACACACACATGCGCAAATGCACGCACACACACACACACACACACACACACACACACACACACACGCACATACACACACACACGCACAGATTATACCTCATTTAGTCCCCTTAAAGACTCAAATAATATCACCTCTATAGAGAGATACACTTCATTCCTTCCTAAATTCCCCTCAGGGATTTATAAAGTCGTATTGAATTGAAAAAACCTTATGGCTTTAGACAAAACAAGTTGAATGCTAAAATCTGATCCAATAACCTAGGTGGTATCACCATTAGGGGGCACTCTTAAGTCAGCCACAGTCGTGCAGTACAAGGATCAGGTGCCTTATAAATCCAAAATAAAGACGCTTCCCTGATTAGCATAGATGGAATCAGAGAAGGATTGAGATCATTGTCAGGGGAGAAAATAAATACATGTGACTTGTATCAATAGTGTTGTATCTACAATGGAGGAAAATAGCTGTTTGAATTGTCCCTGTTACAGCTTAACATACACCTAGGAAAAATGATTTTGGGATGTGGTCTGTTGTCATGGCAACAGTCTCTCTCCCAACTCTCCTACTCCCAAAATTCTGACGGCAAGTCATTTCTCCCAGAGGGCTGGTTAAGTCTGTCTCGGTGGAGTTCAGACATGGTAATCGATCAGCACCCGAGCGGAAGAGACCGATGCCATCGCTCTGGAGCCTCCACTTTGGCTCTGACTGGAGCAGACACTGGACCTCTCCACTCTCATTTCCTCTGCTCTCCGCTCTTCCTCCTCCCCTCCCCTTTCCACTCACCTTCCTCATGAGATGGACCAGGTCCTTGGGCCAGGCGGTGTTGTACTGCACACTGACTGTACTGAAGAGCTGCATTAAAGACTCCACTGAGTTACTGGCATGGATCTCATAGGGCCTCTGACAGAGGGAGAAAGGGAGAGAGGGTGCGAGGGAGAGGGAAGAGGGAGAGAGAGAGAGGAAGGGAAGAAAGAGAGAGAAAGGGGGTATGAGAGAGAGGTAGGGAAAGAGAAAGAGAGCGAGAGACAAAGAGAGAAAGAGAGGAGGGAGGGAGAGAGAGGGTGAGGAAAGCATAGACAGACAGTGAGAGAGATGGAAAGAGATGACTATCAACCACATACAGTAAGCGTCAGTTGCCATAACTCAAGAACAGCTCCACTTCCCATAATGCCTTTCCTTACCCATCCACGCAGCACCTCAAAGACCGTCACACCTAGTGACCACCAGTCCACCTCAAAGGCATAACCCGTCCCCCCACTCACAAAGGACTGGAAGATCTCTGGGGCTGGAGGGGTTACAACACAGACAGGGTCAGACATCTAGGCTACACCCAGACAAGACCATAGCACACTGATGGATATTTACACAGTATGTTAGTGATAAGGTTTCCGGGTCCCAGATCTGTCTTGTCATAGTTGTGATAATGACTATAGGAGTTGGCAAGACAGCACAAACAGATCTGGGACCAGGCTAGTGATAAGGGTTTCCAAGGGCTGAAGGAATTACAGGTGAGAGTCTTACCCATGTAGGGCTTGGTTCCAGCTAAGGCAGTGGCCCTCTCTCCATCCTTGATTATTGTAGCGATGTTGAAGTCTGTCAGGTGGGCGTGGCCTGTGAAGATATCGTGCTTATGCTGCGTTCATAACATCTCGTTTTATTGGTTAGTGGGAAACTCGTCTACCAACTCTGAGCTCCAACTTCTCCCATATGCTAAACTCTCACATCACATACTAAGGAAATTACCTGCCAACAGCATTTTTGGCAGTTAAATGGAACAACAAAACATGATTTATAAAAAACAATCTATTAATATGGTTTTTAAACACTATAATTTGTTATTAGTAGTATTTTCCAAGTTTCCCACTTGTTATGAATGCAGCATCAGAACCAAACTACTTAATATGTATATATATATATACTTACATTTTAGTCATTTAGCAGACGCTCTTATCCAGAGCAACTTACAGTTAGTGAGTGTATACATTTTTTTATACATATATATATGTATAACACAACATCCATAAAATCCCCAAAACATGTTTATTTCTCCAACAGAACTAGCCAAAATAAACTTCAAGCTACAGGATCTAACTCTGACTAACTAACTGATAACGAAAAATAAAACACAAATAGCTTAGTGAAAACATGATTCAGTGTGTCAACAAGACCTGTGTGCCAGAGTCTGGTCTAGTGGTAGTACTGTCAACTCCAGACCAAATATAACCGCTAGCGACGAGGTTATGAATCCTACCTCCGCCCCTACAAAGGTGACAAATCTGTTGATGTGCCCTTGAGCAAGGCACTTAACACTCATTTGCTCCAGGGGTGCCATAATACTATGGCTGACCCTGTAAAACAACACATTTCACTGCACCTATCCAGTGTATGTGACAATAAAACATATACAGTGCCTTGCAAAAGTATTCAGTCCCCTTGTATTTCTTCACATTGTATTGTGTTACAAAGTGGGATTAAAATGTATTTAATTGTCATTTTTTGTCAACAATCTACACAAAATACTCTGTAATGTCAAAGTGGAAGAAGAAAAATGTAATAACTAAAATATTACATTTCATTTTAGCAGACGCTCTTATCCAGAGCGATTTACATGAGCAATTAGGGTTAAGTGCCTTGCTTAAGGGCACATCAACAGATTTTTCACCTAGTCGGCTCGGGGATTAGAACCAGCAACCTTTCGGTTACTGGCACAACGCTCTTACCCACTAAGCTACCTGCCGCCCAGTTGTTGCATAAGTACTCAACCCCCTGAGTCAATATATGTTAGAAACACATTTGGCATAGATTACAGCTGTGAATCGTCTTGGGTAAGTCTATAAGAGATTTGCACATCTGGATTGTGCAATACTTGCCTATTATTCTTTTCAAAATTCTTCAAGCTCTGTCAAGATGTTGGAGATCATGGCTAGACAGCAATTTTCAAGTTTTGCCATAGATTTTCAAGCAGATTTAAGTCAAAATTGTAACTTGGCCACTTAGGAACATTCACTGTCTTCTTGGTAAACAACTCCAGTGTAGATTTGGCCTTGTGTTGTAGGTTATTTTCCTGCTATAAGGTGAATTCCTCTCCCAGTCTCTGGTGTAAAGCAGACTGAAGGAGGTTTTTCTCTGAGGATCCTCAGTTTTCTTCCATCACAGCCATTGAACTCTGTAGCTGTTTTAAAATCCCTGAGCGATTTGCTTCCTCTCCAGCAACTGAGTTAGGAAGGACACCTGTATCTTTGTAGTGACTGGGTGTATTGATACACCATCCAAAGTGTAATTAATAACTTCACCATGCTCAAAGGGATATTCAATGTCTGCTTTTTTTTATTTTAAACCATCTACCAATAGGTGCCCTTCTTTGCGAGGCATTGGAAAACCTCCCTGCTCTTTATAATAATAATATACTGTTTAGCAGACGCTTTTATCCAAAGCGACTTACAGTCATGCGTGCATACATTTTTGTGTATGGGTGGTCCCGGTGATCGAACCCACTACCCTGCCGTTACAAGCGCCGTGCTCTACCAGCTGAGCTACAGAGAACCACGAAATGGTTGAATCTGTGTTTGAAATTCACTGCTCGACTGAGGGACCCTACAGATAATATGTGTGGGGTACAGAGATGAGGAAGTCATTCAAAAATGATGTTAAACACTATTATTGCACACAGAGTGAGTAAATGCAACTTATTATGTGTCTTGTTAAGCACATTTTTACTCATGAACTTATTTAGGCTTGCCATAACAAAGGGGTTGAATACTTATTGACTCAAAACATTTCAGCTTTTCATTTTTTATTAATTTGTCAAAATGTCTAAAAACACAATTACACATTGACATTATGGGGTATTGTGTGTAGGCCACTGACACAAAATCTCAATTTAAGTTTAAATTCAGGCACAACAACAAAATGTGGAAAAAGTCATGGGGTGTGAATACTTTCTAAATGCACTGTAGTATGTGACATAAAGGTAAAACATGTACACAGGTCTGTCTGTGACATGTCGCGGACATCTCATGAGTACAGGATAAAGTCATCTCTAAGAAGAGGCATGCTCACCTTGCTCATCCAACAAGATGTTGTCTGGTTTGATATCCCTGTGAGAAAAAGAGGGAGAGAAACACAGATAAATCAGTGTCTAAGAACATGGAACTATTTATAGTCAATATAAAACGTGTGTCACAGAATGTGTGTTTCTAATTGTGCACGTGCATGTGCTTGCACGTGTGTGGAACAGAATGGGTAGCTGTATGTGTTACATGTGTATCTGCCTGTTGAGGATTGTAGGTGTGTGTGTGTTTGTGTGTGTGTCTTGGCGTATGTTATTCTATGCTTACATCATGTGGGTATGTATTATGTATGTGAATGTGTGCCCATGTGTGTATGTGTTCCAATGTATCGATCCCTACACCACTAGATTGGACATGGATGAACGGGAACATTGGGAACATGGCGATTTCCAATCCAATCCCTTGGAGGCACTCGCAGGTTTTCTCCACACATGCTTATTACATGGGGCACCCATGCAGTGGAGACCCACCAGCACAGCCCACAGCCAATTAACAAAGCCCACACCACTTTTTAAATGATGCTGCCTGTCACGCAAGTGTGACTAATACATTTAGTCCACATAGAGTCTCATACACTACACTAACATAATATCAGGATATATCAAGACCATATCAGGATATATCAAGTCTTTTTTTAACTGGTGTATAACTCAAGAGGTTTAATGGAAATGTAATCACAAGCCCAAGCCATTTAGTCCACAGAGTCTTTGTCTCATACACTACACTAATATAAAACGCATGTGAACTAAGGCTATGCTATACCAAGAGGTAAGTCTCTATTGCTAACTGATGTATTTCTCAAGAGATTTCAATGGAAATGTATGGGAGGAACTCCAATATGAAAGCCTCTATACTGCCACAGTGGTTATTTGATGCAAAACCAGCTCATACACTTCACTAAAGTAACATTCCTGTTAACGCTGAGGCTATACTATACCAGACAGTACATCTCTATTGCTAACTGATGTATTTCTCAAGAGGTTTAATGGAAATGTATTCTACTCATGCCCGATAGATATGCGAGAAATTCCAATATGAAAGCTCTGCCACCTCACCATACCACCACCGTGGTTATTTGATGTGTAAAACCATACAGAGCATTGCACATTGAACACAATTTGTATTTTACGTGACTAGCAATGCAGTCAAATGTGTTTTCTAAGCATGGAAACTCCAGCAGCAGACGACTTACAAGTGTGAGGTGGAATTCCACCTCAAAGCACTCCACTTTAGAAGAGGGAAGTTAACATTTTTTCACTGTTTTAGTTTGTCTCCAGTGCAGAAGAAGAAAACAGGGGGATAGTTCTGGCGTTCTTTGGAGACTTCTTCGCTTAGACTAATTTTACATTCCTCGGGCATCATGGCAGCAGCAGACTGTTGCTAGGAGACACTTCTTCCCCCAGTTGGTGCAACAAAATAATAGTATTTTCCTGTCACAAACCCACAGCGTGAAACCAAATTGTAGAGCAGGAGATGGCCACAGATAGCCAGGGATTGTACTTGGCCTCCTCCAGCAGACACAATTGTGTCAGTCAAAACAGTTGATGCCAGGATGAGATAAAAACAGAGCGACTTGGTAAAATATTTTTTCAACTGACTTCATTGGTATTTGGATAATCAAGCAGGCTTGGGCGATATACCGTATATCACGGTATTTTGAAATATTGATATTGATATATTTCTGTGGGGGTTGGGGGCACCCCTGCCTCACGGGGACTGTGGGGGTGCGTGCCCTGCCACTGCTTATAACTAACTATAAGTTAAGTATAACTATAAGAAATCTAAGATGTGTCAAATAAATACGCATTTGGTTTGCTAACTTGCTAGCTAAGTGGCTAGATGTCAAGATCAAGCTTCTTGGTTACAGCAGAGACATTCAATCCCCTCCTGGTTCAAGACCCCTTTTGCCCTAATTGTTTTGTGCGTAAAAAATATAAATAAATAGATTTTTAAATAGCACCCCTTGTGTGCACTTCCGGTAATACCGTATACCCTGGTATGGTACAGAAACGGTATGACGGTATGAAAATCTGGATACCGCCCAACACTATCGTGAAGCACATTTATCAAGATCACAAGGTGAATTTTTTTTAAATTAACTGCTGAGTTAAGAAAGGACAAGTGTGTGATTATCTAGTTGGAACTACATAATTGTGTGTATGTGTGCGCTCAATGGCACACACGCACACACGCACTCACCTACTCACCAGTATGCACGCACCCACACAGTTCTTTGCACTTTCGAGGAGCAATTTGCTAAAACAAGCTTTGGAATAAAGGTTAAAACATTTTGAGACCATCAGTGAGTGGAGTTCATGGTCTACAGGGACCTAAACAATTTCATTTACAGCACTGACACTTTGCACTGCACTCAGCAATTTCAATAAAAGCTCACGACTGCAAGTCATCCCACATTGAAGAACATTGATGGTTACAGCAACATACAGTGCCTTGCAAAAGTATTCATCCCCTTTGGCGTTTTGCCTATTTTGTTGCATTACAACCCGTAATTTAAATGGATTTTTATTTGGATTTCATGTAATGGACATACACAAAATAGTCAAAATTGGTGAAGTGAAATGAAAAAAAAAAAATGTTTCAAAAAATTCTAAAGAATAAATAACGGAAAAGTGGTGCATGCATATGTATTCACCCTCTTTGCTATGAAGTCCCTAAATAAGATCTGGTGCAACCAATTACCTTCAGAAGTCACATAATTAGTTAAATAAAGTCCACCTGTGTGCAATCTAAGTGTCACATGATCTGTCACATGATCTCAGTATATAGACCCGAGTGGCGCAGTGGTCTAAGGCACTGCATCGCAGTGCTAGCTGTGCCACTAGAGATCCTGGTTCGAATCCAGGCTCTGTTGTAGCTGACCGGGAGACCCATGGGGTGGCGCACAATTGGCCCAGGGTAGGGGAGGGAATGGCCGGCAGGGATGTAGCTCAGTTGGTAGAGCATGGCGTTTGCAACGCCTGGGTTGTGGGTTCGATTCCCACAGGGGGCTAGTATGAAAAAAAAAATATATATGTATGCACTAACTGTAAGTCGCTCTGGATAAGATGATGAAAATGTAATATACACCTGTTCTGAAAGGCCCCAGAGTCTGCAACACCACCAAGCAAGTGGCACCATGAAGACCAAGGAGCTCTCCAAACAGGTCAGGGCCAAAGTTGTGGAGAAGTACAGATTAGGGTTGGGTTATAAAAAAAAAATCTGAAACTTTGAACATCCCACGGAGATCCATTATTAAAAAATGGAAAGATATGGCACCACAACAAACCTGCCAAGAGAGGGCTGCCCACCAAAACTCACAGACCAGGCAAGGAGGGCAAAGATAACCCTGAAGGAGCTGCAAAGCTCCACAGTGGAGATTGGAGTATCTGTCCATAGGACCACTTTAAGCCTTACACTCCACAGAGCTAGGCTTTATGGAAGAGTGGCCAGAAAAAGGCATGTGGGAGACTCCCCAAACATATGGAAGAAGGTACTTTGGTCAGATTAGACTAAAATTGAGCTTTTTGGCCATTAAGGAAAACACTATGTCTGGCGCAGACCCAACACCTCTCATCACCCAGAGAACACCATCCCCACTGTGAAGCATGGTGGTGGCAGCATCTTGCTGTGGGGATGTTTTTCATCGGCAGGGACTGGGAAACTGGTCAGAATTGAAGGAATGATGGATGGAGCTAGATACAGGGAAATTCTTGAGGGAAACCTGTTTCAGTCTTCCAGAGATTTGAGACTGGGACGGAGGTTCACCTTCCAGCAGGACAATGACCCTAAGCATATTGCTAAAGCAACACTCGAGTGGTTTAAGGGGAAACATTTAAATGTCTTGGAATGGCCTAGTCAAAGCCCAAACCTTAATCCAATTGAGAATCTGTGGTATGACTTAAAGATTGCTGTACACCAGCGGAACCCATCCAATTTGAAGGAGCTGGAGCAGTTTTGCCTTGAAGAATGGGCAAAAATCCCAGTGGCTAGATGTGCCAAGCTCATAGAGACATACCCCAAGAGACTTGCAGCTGCAAAAGGTGGCTCTACAAAGTATTGACTTTGGGGTGGTGAATAGTTATGCACGCTCAAGTTTTCTGTTTTTTTTGGGTCTTATTTCTTGTTTGTTTCACACACAAAAAAATGTGCATCTTCAAAGTGGTAGGCATGTTCTGTAAATCAAATGATACAAACATCAAAAAAATTCATTTTAATTCCAGGTTGTAAGGCAACAAAATAGGAAAAATGCCATGGGGGATGTATACTTTCGCAAGCCACTGTAGATACCAGAACTTTGTTTAGATATGCAAAGAAGCAAAAATGAAAGGAGAATGTCCATTTAAGTTTCAGAATGCGATGGAGAGAACTCAGATCCTTGCAAAGCACACAAACAACTAAACCACTGCCCAGTGAAATACTAGTGAATTAAAAGCTGTGGCTTTTCCTCCAATGAGCCCACATATTGAAAGCCTACATCATCAGACCAAGAGCGGTGGTTCTCAAGTTCTGCAGTGAGGTGAACATGTAGCCAGTGTCAGAGCTGGGACAGTGAAAAGAGTGATGCAGGACTCCCCGCTCTGCCCGAGGACACTCAAGACAGATGAGAAAAGGGTGATGATGTATCACTACACCCCCTAACGCAGGCCATTCATCTCCCTCTGGACATGGAGGTGATGGGATGTCTGTCTCTGGAGCAGGGAATGGGAGAGAGAGGGCCAGGAGTCCCAGAAGTGGCACCCAGGATAGGCGTTGTCAGGGAGGTAAGACGAACAGCTAAAAGGAGACGGTGGCCGCTGTGTGTTAGCAATCACATGCTGGGTGTTGGCGAACGGTGTCATTATTGTAGCCCATACTGTGGATGATGTGCCTATAATGTAGCCCAGTGCAGTAGATGCTGTGTCTATGGATGTTGTCCATACCTGTGGATGATGTGCTGGCTCTGCAGGTAGTCCAGTGCCAGGGTCATCTCACACAGGTAGAGTTTGACAGCGTCCTCGTTGAAATGGACGTTCTGTTGGAGGTGGTAGCGCAGGTCCCCTCCCAGCAGCAGATCCACCACCATGAACATGTCCTCCTCATCCTGGAACGAGTACCTGGGACACAAGACAGCGGTCAGAGGGCTCAGTCAACATCCTGTTAGGGCCAGGACACAGACAAACAAGGACACACACACACACGGGAACAAGACACAGAAACACACAGGCGCAAGACAACATGCTGACCACATGCCTCCTGCTGAACCCTGCATCTACCACCCACAAAAACACACAACAGTTAAACAGTAGCATATATAACACATGACACTCACTATTTACAGTACCAGTCAAAAGTTCGGACACACCTAATCATTCAAGGGTTTTTAAATGTTAGTCATTTAGCAGACACGACTTATAGTTAGTGAGTGCATACATTTTTCATACTGGCCCCCTAGTGGGAATCGAACCCACAACCCTGGCGTTACAAACGCCATGCTCTACCAACAGAGCTACACGGGGCCCTGATATTTTTGTTATTTTTTACATTGTAGAATATTAGTGAAAACATCAAAACTATGAAATAACACATATGGAATCATGTAGTAACCAAAAAAGTGTTAAACAAATCAAAATATATGTTATATTTGAGATTCTTCAAATAGCCACCCTTTGCCTTGATGACAGCTTTGCACACTTTTGGCATTCTCTCAACCAGCTTCATCTGGAATGCTTTTACAACAGTATTGAAGGAGTTCCCACATATGCTGAGCACTTGTTGGCTGCTTTTCCTTCACTCTGCCGTCTGACTCATCCCAAACCATCTCAATTGGGTTGAGGTCGGGGGATTGTGGAGGCCAGGTCATCTGATGCAGCACTCTATCACTCTCCTTCTTGGTCAAATAGCCCTTACACAGCCTGGAGGTCGTGTTGGGTCATTATCCTGTTGAAAAACAAATGATAGTCCCACTAAGCGCAAACCAGATGGGATGGCGTATCGCTGCAGAATGCTGTGGTAGCCATGCTGGTTAAGTGTGCCTTGAATTCTAAATAAATCACAGACAGTGTCACCAGCAAAACACCCCCGCAGCCAACAAGTGCTCAGCATATGTGGGAACTCCTTCAAGACTGTTGGAAAAGCATTCCAGATGATGCTGGTTGAGAGAATGCCAAGAGTGTGCAAAGCTGTCATCAAGGCAAAGGGTGGCTATTTGAAGAATCTCAAATATAACATATTTTTTGTTTAACTCTTTTTTGGTTACTACATGATTCCATATGTGTTGTTTCATAGTTTTGATATCTTCACTATTATTCTACAATGTAGAAAATAGTAAAAATAAAGAAAAACCCTGGATTGAGTAGGTGTGTCCAAACTTTTGACTGGTACTGTATGTGTGGAACTGAGTTTCTGTGTGCGTAGAATAGGGCTCTCTAACCCTGTCCCTGGAGAGCTACCGTCCTGTAGGTTTTCATTCCAATCCTAATCTAGCGCACCTAATTCTGATAATTAGCTGGTTGATAAACTGAATCAGGTTAGATAAAAGTGGGGTTGGATCGAAAGCCTACAGGAGGGTAATTATCCAGGAACCGGGTTAGAGAGCCCTGGCATATAGCCTATTATGTGTTAATGTATGCAGGAGTTGGTGTGTGTACTCACATGTAAACTCAAACAAGCACAGTGGGAGTGATAACTTTGAGACTGATCATTATTTTAATGAGCTGACATTTGTTGGAGCGAGTGAATGCAGGAGAGTGATTGCCAAATTAAGGCGAGAACAGAGCCAGTCTCTTAATTGAAAATGGCTGATGGACGGCTAAAGATCGTTGTCAATCAGGCTTACTAATCAAGCACATCACATTAAAACACGTCCACATAATAATCTGGGTGGGATTTAGGACACTCTACTTCACCATCTCTCCACAGGTGTCTACTAAACACCAAGCCCAAGTGGCACACTACACCAAGCCTAGTACAATAGAAATCCAATCCAAACCACACAGTCCATAAACACGAAACGTCAGAAACCCACAATCATCTCACAGTAGTCACGACAGAGAGAGAGCGAGATAGCAAGAGAGTGAGAGAGAACGAGAGGGAGATAAAGAGAGAGAAGGTTTTCCGGAGGCGCTCAATCCGAAAGATAGTGGGAGATTTTTTTATTTTCCCATTAAAGCCTGGTAGGTTATTGCAGCATTATTAAATATTTTTCATCTTGGCAGATTTCCTCATCCTAGCTCCACATCACCAGGCTTAGCCCCACACACTCAGGGGGCATTTTGATTGGCCCTCTCCTGGCGCAATTTCCTGATCTCTATATCCGAGAAATGGAGCACCATGTTCAGAGCGAGTGAAAATCAACCTATCTCACCAAGACATCAGTTTTGCAACGCTGAACGCTGTTCACAACAATATCAAGCCTGACGTCAAAAGGAACACACAGATCAACTGATAAAATGGTCTGATTTTGAAAGAGATTACTGCCTCAATGAATATTCCCCATAAAAGGGGGAAAAAATGATTGACAGAGGTTTCATATTTCTGTCAGAGGGATTGGTTGAGAAGAAGTTCTGAGAAGGAGGGATTGACAGGGATCCATGCTAAACACAATATTTGACTTATGTGATGAGCATTGTATAAGGTTATTATTGTAAGTCAGTGATATCATCTATAGCCTATAAGTAAAGTACAGTCTCTTGCAGTCAAAAACAGCATGACATTAAAGGATTTCCACCAAAGCTTCCATCTCCCTTAAGATCAAGAGAAAACCGATGCAGGATCTATCCGTGGACAGCCTGGTGACGTGTCCACTAGAAAATCTCCAGTCATCAGCTAACAAACCTAACCTGTGCAAGACGACGGGTCCCCCACTCCAAACACACACAGCATCAACAGATGGCCAGGCTGAGATTGGTTGAGATGGTGTTTGCTGTCCACAAGTCCCTATTATTGTCACCTTCTTATCACCTCCTTGTCATCCCATGATCCCGAGCAGCATCCAGCTGATGGTGAAGAGAAGGCCCTCTGTGGCGGCCAGTGTGATACCAGTGGTATTAGGGCCCGTTTCCTGAGCCCCCGTGGCTGAGATTAGAGCAGTTTCCACATCCCCTTCAGGTAAACTGTCAGACGTGGAGCTGACATCTGAGCCGTATGAAAGCTTGGATAGTGACAGCGTTGTCACCTTCAGATTGAACACCAAGGACAGAGAGCGACAGAGAGTGAGAGAAAGTGAGAGAGAACATTCCGGATGAATGCTTTACCAAATACAGCATGTGTCTCACTAGATACGTTTGGGGAATTCAAAATCAAAGCACACAAGCACCCTATAAAAATTGTTCAAGGAGAGGCCAAGAACGCAGCTAAGACAAATGGATGAGACGAACGCAAGTTAGTGAAAGAGGAGAATTCTAATGTGTGTGACCAGAAACAAATGGAGTTCTCCAAACATCTCCTTTTATCTCTCTTCTCATTGACAATATTATAGAAGTTCAAGTTCAGAAAGAATGCTATAAAGAGAAAGCTATAAGAGGAAGCAGTTTGAGAATGGACGTGTCATGGGTCAAATATGACCAAGACAGTTGATTGGGGACCTGGCTAAGGCCTGAGCCTTGGGAGCATTGTGGCAGGGCCAAGGAGAAGAGGGGCCATGAGGAACAGCCAGGACAGGCCTGGACTGACTGGGACAGCAGAGTACAGAGGAAGGTTACCATGCTGGAAAGAGTATGAGAAACAGGCTGATATAATCAGGCCATGATGACAAATGAGCCAAGGGAAGCAGAGGGAGAAGGAGAGAGAGAGAGCGATAGAGGAGTGAGAGAGAGAGAGGAGAGAGATGCAGGGGAGAGAGGGTGAAAGAGAGATGGGGGTGAGATGGGGGAGAGACAGAGAGAGAGCGAGAGAGAGGAAGAGAGAAAAAATGAGAGAGACACGGGGCTCTGACTGCGGTCTGCTTTGTGACTTTGGCCTAGATAGTCTTGCGATAGAGACAGCGTGGCTCAGGCTGGTCAAGGGGCTGGATCACAAGACACGTCCGGCTCCTCTGAGGATCCCTCTAACAATGCAATGAATGAGTGAGCGCTGCCTCTCGCTCTGCGGTCCTTAGGCTAGTCCCCCCCCCCCCGTTCCCCTCCTCTGGTCCCCTCAGCATACCCCTCTCCCCACCTCCACTGGCCTTATTTCACAAGGTGCATTTAGGACGTTCTACAGGAACGTAAAATGGAAAGGTGGCTCTAGAAAGCTACAATTGCAGAGAGAACAGAACATCACTATAATGGTGAGGTGGCTTTGGAAAGTTACAGAGCCCTGTGACTGTGATGTTAGCTCCTGTGCCGCTCTGTATCTAATGCAGACTGCCGAATAAATGCGTTTGTAACAGCAGAAGAAGAAAGCGAATAGGACTTAGCCCCCTGAGGAAATATCCTTCAGTTAGTTTTATGGATGCCAACAGAACCTATGCTTCCACCCAGGGCTTGTTATGACTTTTGTGTTTGGGGTAAAGCCCTAATTTGTCTCGCCGTCTCCCAGAGCATTGTTTTGCTCAGCCAAGGAATCAATATTCTTAATGGACATCGAGGAGGACAGGGTGTGCATCTATTCTCATCACAGTGACTTCGCTCTCGCTCAGTCTCTCACTTTCTCTGATGGAGAGGATGGATGGACAGCGGAGGAAGAGTGCAGCTCAGCGGATCCCACTGATGACTCACTGTCTGTGAGGCCTTAAACCCCTATTTAAAAGGGTCTCCAAAGCCTTAGCTCATAGACAACAAATATCCCAGTGCTCAGCGCTGACACATTCACTCCCTCTCGCATCACTTTCTTCCTCACTTGGTTCAGCTTTCACTGCCTCCATCCACATCCCAGGGGAATCTGGCCAATGGTGTTTGAGAGTGATTTGCTGCGATGTAATGCTTAAGGCAAAACCTTGTTCTGGTAATGATTTACACTGGAAAGTGCAAGGTATCAATTTCACTGCATACACATACTGCATGTAATACTGTACGTCTGGGTAGGGAAATATGACCTCTGCAACTTAGAAATACAAATTTATCGGGGGAAAGACATAGACCGCATCTACACCTATGCTGTGATGGCTTAGGTGATTGAGGTGGATTTCTTGCATGCTGCAGATGATACTTACTTTTTTCACAAGGTGGTTATCCATTTAAATACATGTATATCCCACTCCTACACATTATATGGTATCTATCTGCGGCAAGTGAATGGTCACGGCAATTACCGCATGCAGCCAACTTGACA